TAATTATTATTTTGGGGCATGGAAAGATGAGTGGATTATAGTGGGCTGTCACTTTCTACTTCATATATGCATTTTTTAAATTTTGCACCAATTTGTATTTAGGATTAACTACAGCTAAATACTAAAGTTAAATTCTGTATCTTTGTATGCCTCTGTTAAATAACTTTCTCAATTTTTCAGCCCTGTTGTAGCTTTGCATGTTCCATAATGTATTTTGTTCTGTCTTCTATTGTCTTCGGCATTTTATGTATTTTTGAGAGACTTATCTATCATAAATAGAACATTACAATTAAGATTTAATGTCAAACTGATACAGCAGCTTACTTTTATACATTAGGAGCATACAGGCAAAAATCTATTCTCTGATACTGAAACTGTCTTATATAGTTAAAGGGTAATATGCAAATAGACCAAATGGCAGAACAACCGAACAACCAATCAAAGCGTAAAATTCTAATGATATGCTAAGGCTGCTCAACCATTCAATAAAACATGCACTGACCACCAGGGGGCAGACAGTAAAGTGGTCAATCAGTTGCTATAATGGGCACTGACCAGTAGGGGGTAGATGCTCTGACCAGTTGATTAGCTTGTTGCTGGGGTCTGGCAGATCCCAACTGAAGGAGATAGGCTGGATACACCCTGGAGCCCTCCTGCTTTCCCTCCCTGGCCCGCTCTTGCACAAGTGAGGTCCCTCAGCCCTGCCTGTGCCCTCTCACAATCTGGGACCCCTCAGAGGATGTGGGAGAGCTGGTTTCAGCCCAATCCAGCGGGCCACTCTCCTTGGGAGGGCGCCAGACACAGAGCTCATGGCTGGCGAACTCTGCTGTGGCAGCGCGAGCCTCTCCCAGTTGGGACTGATTGGGTGTGAGCCGGCAGCAGGCATAGTGGGACCGGGATGAGTGGGAGCAGCAGGTAGGAGCTACAGGCAGCATTGGACTGCAGGTTTCAGTCCAATCCCTGCAGGCCACCCAGAAGGACCACACCCTTGCATGAATTGTGCACCAGGCTCTAGTATATTTTATAATACAGCTGATGCTAGTTTAAAAAAAATGTATAATGCTAACTTTAAAAAGTAAGAACTGCCCTGTAATTTTAAAAAAATCATAGCCTTTGGAAATAGGGTAGGAGGATTATTTTCCTTTACTTTCAGCATAATAATATGGGGCTAAATAACAACAAAAAAAGGTGAGCATTTATTATGTTCTACTGTGTATATACATTATTTCAATTTGTATTTAACTTCAACAATAACTTTGTGGCAAATATTATACCTATTTTTCAGATTAGAAACCTGGGGATTCTGATCTGATTTAGATTAGAGCGGCTAAGTAACTTTATTCATTCAATGGCCATTTAATAAGCACTTAATGGTTTGTTTTTTTAAAGTATGTCTTTATTGATTTCAGAGAGGGAGGGAGAGGGAGGGAGAAAGAGAGAAACATCAATGATGAGAGAGAATCATCGATCGGCCACCTCCTACACATCCCCCACTGGGGATCAAGCTGGCAACCCAGGGATGTGCCTTTGACAGAAATCCAACCTGGGACCCTTCAGTCGGCAGACTGACGCTCTACCCACTAAGCCAAACCAGCTAGGGCAGCACTCAATGTTTTAAGAACTAGGAATACAGTGCACAAAATGCGGAGCTTACAACCTGGAGGTTGATGGGAGTACTGGATAAATCAATCAATATGTACATAAGGTAATGTCTGGTGCATTGCAGTGTTATGAAGAAAAGTGAAATGGGATAGGGAAAGGAGTGATGAGAAGGCCATATTAAGGTAGGAGGTGGGGAGTGCTCTCTGAGAAAGTATGTGTGAGCAGAGCCCTAAAAAAGAAGTGAGGAAGTGAGATCCGGGGAATAGCAAGAGCTATTATAAAAAAATAAAAAAAAAATTTAAAAAAAAAAGGAAAAGAAAAAGCAAGGAGGCCAGTGTGGCTGAGGCAGTGAGCAACGCAAAACTCTGGGCTCTCTGCTAAGCATGATGGGAAGCCACTGGAGGATTTGGGCAGTGATGTGGTCAGATTTACCATTTTAAAAGCGTACTTAGGCTGCTGGCTGGAGACCAGACTATAAAGAAACAGGAGTAGCAGCAGGATGGCCTGTCAGGAACCGATTATAGTGGCCCGGGAGAGAGATGCAGGGCTTGGGCTGAAAAACAGTGAAGGTGGTGCGAGGTGTCACATGCAGTCTGTATTTTGATGATTTCATGCACGTTCATGGTTGTGTGGCCAGAGATGAGGTTATATTTTGAAGGGGAAGCAGACAGGATTGCAAAAGGTCACACAGCTAAGGGAGTGGAAGAGCCAGGATTCGTAGCTAGGTATGTGTGAGTCTAAAGCCTTGCTTATAACAACTCTTGTAGGCTGCCTTAATGCTAGCAAACACTAAGCAAAAAAAGCAGAGTGAAAGTGAAAGTACATAATGTCTCCAAGTGTTTTGTGATCACCTCCGCCCTTGAAGGCTTTTATGGCACGAGGCAAAACACTCTGGCCTGGGTGGATAGGAGATCAGAATTCAGATTCTTCTTTCGCCATAGATTCTTCCTCAGTGTGGGTCACATGATGTCTAATGGCCCTTCCAGCTTTGATGTTCAGTGTTGCTACTATTCAGCACCTGGGGAAATACAGCTGACTGTGTACAGTGCCGCCCACGAGTATACAACGGAAGATAAGACTGATAAGCATATGATTAACCTCCTGAGAGGTGGCAGGCCTAGAGAGACTGTCTTTTCAGTTTCGATACTATTTGGTTTAGGAAAAGCATTTTGTTTGGGTATTATTACTTTCAAGGAAAAAAATCTGTACAGGGTCTCATTCAATTTACAGGGTACACTAGGATTTCATGCAATTTCATGCAATATCCATCCAAATAGTCAAGCAGTTTATTTTAAGCCGTTATTCCCTCAACAAGCATTTAAAACCTATTGAGTATTAGTCATAATAGCATTTATTGAGTGAATACAGGTGAAGAAAGACCTTGATAAAAAGTAAAAAAAAAAAAAAGAAAGAAAGAAAGAAAAAAGAGAACTTTACATGTTGCTTTCTAAGATTTTACAACAGTCTTTAGGGTGTTGTTGTTCCCCTCCTTCCCTTTTTTCCACGTTATAAAACTAAACCTGGCACACACTTGCTCTTTGGAGGCCAGGGGCGTTCTGGGAGCTCAACCACAGCTCCCAGGAGCCTTCTCAAAAGCCCAAGAAGGAGATGACAGCGGAGCAGCTGCAGAAGCAGGAGGAGGAAGCGTTTAGCTCGGGCTCACTCTCCGTGCTCACACAGTCAGTCAAGAACAACATCCAGGTGCTCATCAGCTGTCGCAACAAGACGCTCCTGGGCCGGGTGAAGGCTTCTGACAGGCACCGGCACATACACATGGCACTGGGGAATGTGATGGAGATCTGGACCGCGGTCCCCAAGAGTGGCAAGGGCAAGAAGTCCAAGACAGTCAATGATGAGGACCGCTGCGTCTCCAAGATGTTCCTGCCAGGGGATTGGGTCATTGTGGGCCTGCGGAACCCACGCATCGCTGGCAAGCAGGGGCTTGCTCCCTGCTTGGCACCAGGCCTCTTGGCACCAGGACCGCTGGCTGTGCTTTGCAGGCATTACTCTGCAATAGACAGGCTGGTCCATGACATAGGACAGAGATTGGCAAGCATTGTCTGCAAAGGGCCAGAGAGTAAGGAGATCAGTAATGCGTCTGTGGCAACTACTCCGTTCTGCCCTTGTAGCACAAAAGCAGTCGGTGACAATACATAAAAGAACAAACGTGAATGCGTTCTAATAGACTTTAGTTATGGATACTGAAATTTAAACTTCACATAATTTCCACTTGTCACAAAATAGTGTTCTTCTTTTGATTCCCCATTTACAAAGAAAATGTAAAAATCATTATTAGCTTGATTGCTGAATGAAAACAAGAAGCAGTCTGTATTGGCCTGTGGGCTTGTGAGATTGTGATTTATAAGGAGTATATATTAGGTCTTCAACCCCATTCCTGGCAAGAGTTCCTTCAACCCTTGTAATTTATCTCTTCTCCAGGGAGGGGAGAAGAATTGGAAATTGAATCAATTACCCCTAATAGTCAATGATTTGCTCAATCATAATTATGCAACGGGGCCTTTTTAAACACTCAAAAGAGGGTTTAGAGAGTTTCTGCGTCGGTGAACCCATCAGGGTGCTGGGAGAGTGAGGTGCCTGAAGAGGGTGCAGAGCTTGTCCACGAGTCTCTTCCATCTGGCTGTGCTCGGCAGAAAGGGACTTTTCATACCCCTCTTTATGTTTCATCCTGCCTCATCGTAGTTCCTATATATCTATATTTATATCATTTATTAATAAACCACATTAGCAAATTGGTGGCCCCTCCTGCTTGTTCCCTGTGGTGTTCTAATTTGCTCAGCACATTCCTGTGGAAGACACAGGATAACCTGGATGATTCCTTAACCACCCCCCACACCAGCATCCTGATCACTGTCTTTGAGATAAAGAAACTGCTGGTTCAGACCCCCCAAACTCCAAGTCGCCAGAGGAAACAGGCCTTGCAGCCACCAAGGCATTTATTTCCTTTCCCTCTGAGACCTTAGCATCGGATCCTCCTGGTTTTCTTTCATCTCACCCTGCAGTGTGCACAGGCTTTAGCATACTTGATAGGTCCTTCAGATTTTTAATTTAACAGCAGCGGAAGCAGAAAACTTTTCTTATCTTGGTGACAGACCCCCTCTCCAAGAGGAAGAAGACCCTAAGCAGGAGAAAGCCAGGAGCTGGAGGGGAGACACTTTAGCACCTCATTTGGGGAAACCTGGTCCATTCCCAGAGAGAGCGGAGCCTGAGTTTGGAGAGAAGAGGTAGGGGGTGGGGGAAGGGGGCTGGAAGCCGACGACCTCACGTGACCCCGGGGGCCAGGGGCTGGGTCGACCCCGCCCCTCTGTCCGCCGCCGCCGCCGCCGCCGCCGCCGCCGGGGGGCGCATGCGCAGCCCGCGTTAGTGATGGAGGAGAGAAGATGGCGGAAGCGGAGTGAGTGACTCGCTGGTGACTGATGTCGTAACCGGGGGGCGCGTGGGGGCAGCGACACGTCCTCCACGGGGAAAGCTCTGGGCTCTCGCGCGGGCCTTGCGGTTGGGGTTTGGGGAGGAGGGAAAGGGAGATCCGAGGGCTTCCTCCTCGTGGAGGAGCCCGCTCGGCCCGTGTCCGCTGGGGGGGGCGGAGGCGACCTGGAGGGTCCAGCTGCCTCCAGGCGGGAGCGCCCCTGCCTGCCGCCCACGGGCCCGGCATCGGCGGGCCCCTGCGCTCAGGGTCGCCGCCGCGGACCCCGGCCGCCGGGAGGAAGCCCTGGGGGCCTGCCGGGCGCTGTCATCCCTGCAACGGGCCCCGCGGCGGGCAGTGCGGTTGCCGGGCGTGCGCAGCGGCCGCGGGGGCTGGGCGGGCGCTGCCAGGCCTGCGGCGCGGTGCCCGCTCCCCGCTCCCCGCTCCCGCGCCTCCCACCCCGCTCCTGCGGGGAACCCCGAGCCGTGGGGGTGCCCCCCGCCCGCCCCCGGGAGGCGCGGAGGAGGTGCCCGGCGCCGGCCTCGTAGCGGCGGGGCTTCCTGGGCGGCCGGCCGGGCTGCAAAGCCCCGGGAAGGGGAGCTCCGGCCGCGGGGCTGCAGGACCGCGGTCCCGGGCGGCGGCGTGGCGGTCTGTGCTCAGTTAGAGACGCCAACTTCGTCCCCCCCGGGCAGGCCTCTTGGGCCCCCGGGTCCCTGGCCGGCTGGCTGTGTGTGTTTTGTAAGGCGTTATTCTCTATTCTGCCATAGACGGCGGGGTTGCAAAAAATAAAAATAAAAAATAAAATAAAAATTGTTCTTTTGTGCCAGGTCTGCAAACGCAGGTCAGTGGTTTGGCCGGTTCCACACCCGCCGATGTGTGTAGAATCGTGCCTACCATGTGGATTCTCTTGTGACCCTTTTTGGTTGGTGGCCGCACTGCTTGGCCCCCAGGGTTTGGGATGGAGGGCGGAGGGTTTGGGATTGGTTGAGCGGAATAGCACTCGAAAAGGACCGGGTTTTAAGCCGGACTTTCTCTGCACAGCACTGGTCCGAGGTTCGGAAGGGATACTGACAGCCAGAAATTTGGGGGGGGCAAAGTTTACCTTATCGACCACAAAAATGTTCCATGGTTGAGCAGTTACTCTGAGATGCTTTGATTTGATTATTGGAATGCCGTCTGAAAAAAACTGTTTAAAAAAGCCAGCAGAGAAGCGTAAGGATGTATGAGTCATTTAACTAATCCAAAAAAGTTAAGTGTGGTCAGCTTTTTTCCATTCACTTTTCCTCTTATTAAATCGAGATTTAAAAAACACACAACACATTTGATTTTTTGAAGAGCATGTAAATATTACTTACATAAAAGACACAGAAAACGTGTACATTAAAGGACAGACACTTTATGGGAATAGTGTATGGGTACACAATTTAAGTGTCAAATAGTGAGTGTATGGGTACACAATTAGTGCCAAATTCCTTTGTCTTTTCCTGAAGTAGAAAGTGTTCTTATTACATACATTCTTGTCAGCGCTGCTAATGTGAGGTCCGCCAGTTTTTGTTTCTGGGAAGAAAAGATGGGAAATAAGGGAAGGCAGATAAAGCAAGTATATTCTCTGTGCCTTTCACCTTTGTTGTGCGTTTTTCACTCCACACAAAACCTACTTGTAGGTTCTAGTTTCTAACAATATTGAGGCCCTTAGAATTGACTTAAAATGTTTGGATTTATTCAGATACAAATTCTGTATTTAGTAGAACTCTATACAACAGTGAAGTGAGTTAATAATATTAGAGGGGGAAAAATCAAAGTCTTGAACACAAATGTACTTTACTGTCCATAACTGAGGCAGGTGACATAATTATGCTCTTTGCAAATTTTAGGACATTTTTTTTTTTGTGAAAAAGATTTTGGTAAGGAAGTGGGGAAATTGTCAGCTCTTCTCTATCCATTCAGAGTAATCTGCTTATAAGTATAACTCATTATACTTTGTAGATGTAGGGAAAAAAAACTAGTGTGATTTTTTTTTATTATTTTCTAAACGAACTTATTTTTAAAAAAATATATTTTATTGATTTTTACAGAGAGGAAGGGAGAGAGGTAGAGAGTTAGAAACATTGATGAGAAACATTGATCCGCTGCCTCCTGTACACCTCCTTCTAGGGATGTGCCCACAACCAAGGTACATATCTTTAACCGGAATTGAATCTGGGACCTCTCAGTCTGCAGGCTGACACTCTATCCACTGAGCCAAACCAGTTTCAGCTAAACGAACTTATTTTTAAAGCAAGTATATATATGGTAGCCAAAAATTAAGCTAATTAGCACAAGCCCTTAGGCACCCTATTTTAATGTATAGATAAGAATGATTTGACCAAAAAAAAAAAAGCGCAAGATTTGAACTTGTAGTTAGCATGGTCAGAAGAATGTAAATGTATAGTATTTTAAATTCTTTGATGTTGCTTTAGTTTTTATTTTCCTAGGTAGTTTAGTATTCACTCATCACCTGTTTTGGTTTCAAAATGCGCATCTTCTTTCAGTAATGAAAATAAATTTTAGATCCGGTTTTATCTGTGTTACATATCCCAAATAATTGGAATTCAAATTTAGTTGGTATTAAGTATTAAATGTGCTATATATTTGTGAAGTACTTTTTCTTTCTAGGTGTTTATGGTGACTGTGTGCTATCTGTGTTTTGAGGACCTTCTTAGAAATTTAGACTTGATCATTTCTTTGGAATGATTAAATATTCTTTAAAACCCATTAAGATAATGCTTTTGCCAGTATAAACTCTTTGTGTTATCTGCCAGATTTAAGGACCACAGTACAGCTATGGATAGTGAACCAAACTCTGGAACATCATCTGTGTCGACAACAACCAGTAGCACTACCACTACCACCATCACCACTTCCTCCTCTCGAATGCAGCAGCCACAGATCTCCGTCTACAGTGGCTCAGACCGACATGCTGTACAGGTATTTCAGTTACAAAGATGGGTAGGCTAAGGCTGTCAGTATTTTTGCTTATGCCAGATTTTGTTTCATATCCAGTGAATTATATATCCTCTAAATAAGTACAGTTATAATTATTAATGTTCAAAGCACTCAAAATGTTATTTAATAATTATTCTGTTGAGAGGGCTTACATTTGTCAGAGTGTAGCTTTTTTTTAAAAAAATCTATTTTTGAAAGTATTACATAGATATATCTCACAAATAGCACTAATACTACAATAGTTTGCATGATATTCTAGAATTGCTTCCCCTAAAATACCATCAAATCAATATTTATTGAACTACCTAAGTAGTTCTTTAATACCTTCAGCTTTCTTTTTCAGTCCTTTTAATGTTGTCTTCCTTATTCCTTTAGAGCAGGGGTGTGGAACCTTTTTTCTGCCAAGGGCCATTTGGATATTTATAACATTACTAGAGGCCAGGTGCATGAAATTCATGTGTGCCCATGGTAGTGTTCCTCAGCTCGGCCTGTGCCCTCTCGCAGTTGGACATCCCCCGAGGGCTCCCAGACTGCAAGAGGGCACAGGTAAGACTGAGGGCTCCCTCCCCCTCCCCTAAGTGCACGAATTTCGTGCTCTGGGCCTCTAGTACTGCTGTAATCTTAAATTACTTGATACCGATCTATAGGCCTCTGCAACTAGGGGTCAAAAGACTACATTGATATTGTGATGGAAGTCTGTAGCAGCTTTAGCAATCTGGAGTTGAAGAAATGAGATATGAACAAGTGAAAATAAACAACACAAGGAAATATGCTTTCTTGGAATTTTGTGGTTCAAGGTGTCCTGACTCAACCCTAAAGCTGAAGGATATGGCTCTATTACTCCCTTATCTCTCTGGTTTGATGCTGCTGTTAGAGTTCTATGCTGTTTCAGAGGCACAGTGGGCATGATGTGACTTTGGGATGGTTGCAGAGGACTGCCATAGTCTGACTTACTGGTTTGGGCAGATAAAGAATTTTTATCTGTTAATAGAATGTTTGACTTTTCTGTGTTTGTCTATTTATGAAATTTCAGGCTCAGATTTTATATTATACTAATAAATATTTTCAGTAACACTTTTATAGGAATTATTTTAATAAGAATAGTTTTATTCTATTGCTGAAACAATCCAAACATGGAATCTGACATTTAAAAACATTTGTAAACGTTTGAAAAATTACATTTGAAAGGTAATTAGTAATTTTCTAAAAAGTCAGTTGCTTTATAATTTTATGATTATGAATATAATACCTACTCATTCTAAGTTTTTTCAGTCATTTAAAGACAAATAGAGCCTTAACTTGTTTGGCTCAGGGAATAGAGCATCAGCCTGTGGACTGAAGAGTCCCAGGTTTGATTACTGTCAAGGGCACATGCGGGCTCGATCCCCAGTAAAGGGTGTAAAGGAGCCAGTTGATCCATGATTTTTTCTCATCATTGATGTTTCTATCTCTCTTTCCCTCTCCCTTCCTCTCTGAAATCAATAATAATATATTTTTTTTAAAAAGAAAAGTACAAATGAGAAAGTAAAAATCACCTGTAATCCAGCTTGGTAGTCTTTCAACGTTTCCTGAATATTCTTTCAAAACTTTTAATATAGTCATAGCTGGTTTGGTTCAGTGGGTAGAGCATTGGTCTGTGGACTGAAGGGTCCCGGGTTTGATTCTGGTCTGGGGCGCATGCCCAGATTATGGGCTCAATCCCCAGTGTGGGGATTGCAGGAAGCAGCCGATCAGTGATTCTCTCTCATCCATTGATGTTTCTCTCTCTCTCCCTTTCCCTTCCTCTTTGAAATCAATAAAAAAGTTTTTTTTAAAGTATGAAAACACACACAAACTTTTACTATAAAAAGGCATTTTACTCTATATACTATTTAGTAGCCTGCTTTTTTCACCTTATGATATATTTAGGAATTCTTTTTGTTAATTAATGTAGATATAGTAGTATGTGCAGTGTCATACAGTAGCTACTAGCTTATGTGGCTATTATATTTAAATTAAAATGAAGTAAAATTAGAAACTCAATTCCTTAGTTGCACTGATCACATTGTAAGTGCTCAGGAGACACTTGTGGCTAGTGGCTACTATATTGGGCAGCACTGCTTTGTAATGGCTGCAGGGTTATACATATTCTTTCCTATACCATAGCCCTGAATTCTACCAAGTTTTTTTTTTTTTAAATGCTCATACCAATTTACATTTTTATGACCGTTTATGAGAGTACCTTTTTCCTCAGTTAGTAGTATTCTTTTAAATCCTTATCCATCTGAAAGTTGGAAAATAATATCCTGTTTTAACTTGTAATTTTTGTCTGCTAATGGGATTGAAGATCTTTTCAAATAGTTGTTTGGCTCTTTTTTCTTTTGTGAATTGACTAGACAGGGTAGTTTTAATTTGTACGGATTTAATTTGTGCAATCCTAGTGATGTGTAATTAGGAGAGAACTATGTTAATAAGCTTATGACATTGAATATTCAAGTAGTAAAATTTTAAACTGTCACTTTTTTAATGTTTTATTTTATGGTTAAGATTATGGTTTGACATTGGTTCAATTGACTTATCACAGGTAATTCAACAGGCATTGCATCGCCCCTCCAGCTCAGCTGCTCAGTACCTTCAGCAAATGTATGCAGCTCAGCAGCAGCACTTAATGCTGCACACTGCAGCTCTTCAGCAGCAGCACTTAAGCAGCTCCCAGCTTCAGAGCCTTGCTGCCGTTCAGGTGAGAGTGGAGTAAGTGAAAAATTATGAGGCCTAACTTGACATTATTTGAAGAAAATAAATGAATTGGCTATTATTTCAGAGTTCTCAGATGTTTTGTGATAATTTTTTATTAGGGAATTATAATAGGCTGCCAAATGGAAGTTAATTTTAAAAAATAATGTTATATGTTTTATATGTTTTATTGCTAACTTTTTGTTCCACTGCTTTTTATCTACATTGCAGGTTTGCTACGCTAGTGTCATGATTTTGCATGTAAAATTTTAGGAATAACAGTGAATACTTAGGATTATATGAATTATATTTTAACAAAAAAAGATTTTTTTTCAATATGCAAGTAATTCACACTATTAAAAAAAAATCAAACGCTTTAAAATTGTTTATATTAGGTCTAGTAATAATTAATGTCGTTTTCTAATACTTTTTTAAATCGAATTTATTTAAACAATACAACAAAATTTAATCAACAATATAGTTGCCATTGTTTTCTACTACTTGTGCCCAACGCTCAGGAAGCATTTTAATCCCTCTGTTGTAAAATTCTTGTGATTTTGATGCAAAAAATTTGGTCAATGCATTTTTGAGGCATTCTTCATTATTAAATTTTTTTCCAAGAAGAAAGTTTTGCAAAGAACGAAACAAATGGTAATCGAAAGGGGCAATATCAGGAGAATATGCAGGTTGAGGGAGAACTTCCCATTCCAACTGGCGCAGTTTTTCAGCAGTGATTCTTGCAGTATGCGGTCGTGCGTTATCGTGGTAAAGAATTACACCCTTCCGATTAATCAGCGCGGGTTCTTTTTCTCTTAAAGCTTGGGCTAACCTTTCCAATTGGGCACTATACACTGCACTTGGAATGGTTTGGTTAGATGGTAAAAGTTCATAATGAAGAATTCCTTTAAAATTCCACCAAACACACAACATCACTTTTTTCGCATGCAAGTCAGGTTTTGGCATGGGCTGCGGAGCCTCATTTTTGTCCAACCATTGAGGCCGCCTTTTCAAATTAACATACAGAACCCATTTTTCATCTCCGGTAACAATTTGCTCTAAAAACGGCAAACGGTTTTGACGAGAGAGGAGCGAACTGCAAATTGTGACTCTTTGATTACGGTTGTTGTTGGTCAACTCATGAGGAACCCATTTTCCAAACTTTTGGACTTTGCCAAGTGCACGCAATTGATTGGAAATTGTTTTTTTGTGAACAATTTAAAGTTGTCGCAAGCTCTTGTTGGGTAATTTGAGGATTTTGCACCAAAAGAGCTTGAAGAGCTTCTTGATCAAAATTGGACACACGGCCTCGACCACTCTTGTCATCTAACAAAAAATTTCCCTCGCGAAATTTCTCAAACCAATGCTGGCATTTTCTGGCGCTAACTGCATCTTGACCAAGAGCACTACAGATGTTTTTTGCAGCCTCACTTGCTTTTCTTCCTAATTGGAACTCGTAAAGCATGCAGTGCCGAATATGCTCTTCATACGCCATCTTCTTAGCCCTAGTTTTGCAACAAAAACCAAACCAAACACAAACTTTTTCAAGCAAAACTTGTTAATTGCACTTCACACGTTCTGTAGATACCACGTGTTTGAAGGTTATGTCAATACAAGTCAACGCCAAGCAAGATTTTAAACGAATGTTTAAAAACGACATTAATTATTACTAAACCCGATAATAAAGTAGAAGTATTTCTTACTACACCCACCTTTGCACCAGTACTTTTGTACCAGTTATTATGTAACCTTCCAGAAATTTTCTGTATAAAGATATGCATATGTACTTTCTAAAATCTAATCATACAATTTCCACTAATAACAGGATGATTTTATAATTAAATGCTTGTGTTTTAAAAAAATATTTTCATTATTATTCTGTTTATTTAAATAAAACTACATGTGAGATTTCATTTTAAATCTTACTAGAGGAGGATCTCAGTTGACTGAACCTGAAAAGGGTTTATATCTATTGTAATCACATCGCCAGCTGTTGCGTTTTCTTGGTAGTGTAATTTTAAGTAACATCATGTTTGTGATATGAGTTAGGAAACTGAAACCACTGGCACCTGATGTAGCTTCAATTTCTTTTTTGTAATGTTGGAGTGCTGATTCCCCTAAAGTAGAAAATAGAAGAAGCTTGTAGAGTAAAACTGACAATGAGTTCAGCTATTAAAATCATATTACCCTTTGGGTCCTGTTTCCACCATTCAGCTTTTTTTTTTTTTTTTTTTTTTCTTTTCTTAATCTGTTTGGCTAAAGCTTAATCCGTGTTCACTGTAAAATGAATAGCTTCATATATAGACATTTTTACTTTTCTTATGGTTTTGTGGTATCCTGGTACCAGAAAGATTTTAACTTTAGGTTTTTATAGACATATTATAAAGATCTTATTATTTTAGGCAAGTTTGTCCAGTGGAAGACCATCTACATCCCCCACAGGAAGTGTCACACAACAGTCAAGTATGTCTCAGACATCTGTAAGTGCCCTAAACTTTTTCCTGGATTTAAAAATTTTAATTATTGCTTTCCAAAAGTAAACCGTTAATATTTGCAAAACTGTTAATTGTGTATTTGTTTAAATACTATTTAAGTAACAAGTACCATGAAGTAAGTAAGTAAGAATGATAAGATCCAAGAATTCAGAACTAATGTTAAACTTCTGAAAATTTGAGTCTAAAAATATTTGTTTTACTTCTTATACATTGTTTCCCATGGAGTGTATTCAGATCTTTTGTGGTTCTAAATGATTGTAGTTTTCAGGATGTACTGAAAGTCTGAAATGTACAATGCACAGGTACTAAGTCATACATTTACTGTGATATACTGCAGAATGTCATAGCCTTGGTAGACAGCTAAATGTTTCTAGCTTTTTCTCGGAAATTCACATTTTAGAAATTACACATTTCAGCTTACACTTACTTGAGTTATCTGGGTCAAATTTACAATTAGTCCACTCAAGATAGTATAATTTATTTTGAAAAAGGAGTTAAAGAAAGCTGGTTTGCTCTCTTGCATATATTCTGGGAAATTATGCAAACTTTCCTAGTTAAAAGAAATTTATAGGCATGGTAATACTTGTTTAACTTTTAATTTTGATATAATTTCAAAATATAAGAATAATAAAAAGATTTACTCAGATTTACCAGTTGTTAGCATTTTGGTTCATTGCTTTATCATTTTTTCTCTCTACATATTTACATATATATATTTTTTTTCTGAATCATTTGTGGGTAAGTTGAGACATGTTCTTTAGTCCTAAATATTTTTATATATATTTACTAGAAACAAAGTCATTTCTTTATGAAGCCACATGAAAATGATCAAATTCAGTAAACTTAACCTTGCTGCAATGTAATGTATATTAAAATTTCATCAGTTGTCCTAGGTTTATCAGTCTCATCAATATAGATGTTTTGGACCAGATAATTGTTTTTTAATTTTTTTAATTTTTATTTATCAATTTTAGAGAGAAAGGAGAGAGACACAGAGAGAGAAACATTGGTATGTTGTTCTGTTTATTTATGCACTCATTGGTTGATTCTTGATGAATCCACAACCTTGGGATAATGCTCTAACCAACTGAGCTAGCCAGCCTGAGATGGACCAGATAATTATGCAGAAATGATATAGATAATTATGCAAACATGCATGGTTTATAATAGAAATTATAAACAATATAAATGTCCTTTAATTGAGGATTAATTTTACAGAGAGACTTAGATTTTCATTAGGTATTAAGTTGAAAAATGGCAAGAAGGTATAGTATGATATCATTTACTTTATTTAGGTTATTCTATTCTTTCAGTTCTAAACTTTCCATTTGGTTCTTTTTATCTTTTTCTTTGCTGAGAGTATATTTTTCACTTGATTCAGTCAGGCTCATAACTACTTATTCAAAGATTATTGCTTTAAAATCTTTCTCAGATAGTTTAAAAAATTTTTTAAAAAAAATATTTTTTATTGATTTTTCACAGAGAGGAAGAGAGAGGGATAAACATCAATGAGAGAATCATCGATCAGCTGCCTCTTGCACACCCCCTACTGGGGATGTGCCCGCAACCAAGGTACATGCCCTTGACCAGAATCAAACCCAGGACCTTTCAGTCCACAGGCTGATGCTCTATCCACTGAGCCAAACCGGTCCCGGCTTTTCTCTGATAGTTTTATATTGTCTTGGTGTTGGCATTTATTGATTGATTGTCTTTCTTTCAGCTTGAGAGCTCTTTCTAGTTCTTTAATACATTGAGTGATTTTTTATTAAAACTAGTACATTTTCAGCATTATGTTATGAGACAGGTTTCCCATTTGGTCTCCATTGATACCCAAGGGGGTGCTCCTCGTAATTGCTGAGGTGGGGGGGGTGAGAGTTCTGGCTCCTCACTAGGCCCCCACTGCTGCTTTCCTGGCTGGCAGGGACAGAGGACTGCTTCTGATATGGTCTCCAGTAATTCTGCAGGGAACAGGTGGGTTTGTGGTGGTGCTGTTACTGCCTCGCTGGGATTAAAGTCCTGGCTCTCTACCTGCCTTCTCTGACACTAACCCTTTGGAGGGAGTAGGGGGAGTTGGGGTTCCTTATTACAGCCTGGAGAGGTCTTTGCTGGTGGGTGTGGGTGGGGCCACAATGTTTTCTGTGAAGTAGAGCACTTAAAAAAAGTTGCTAGGCTATCTCTTTCCTGGTCCTTTGGCTAGAAATAGCAGGCTTCTCTGTTGGGGCTCCTTGTCTGTGTCCATTGATGTTTTTAGTGTTACAGTATTCTTTAGCTCCAAGTTTGTGTTATATGAGACAAAAAGAAATCCTAGGGAGCTCACATCCACATTGTTTACTGGGTCCTGAGGTCTCTAGCCAGTCTGCTTTTCCCACCTTTGGGATTATCTTAAGTTTATCTAGGGTTTTTAGTAATAATTAGGAAGAGGAATAGGGAAAAGTATATCTATTCCATCATTATGGAAACAGAATTCCTGCCATTTAACTTGCTATTTTTAAAAAATTGATTTCAGAGAGAGAGGAGGGAAGAGGGAGAGAGAGATAGAAACACCAATGATGAGAGAGAATTATTGACCAGCTGTCTCATGCATGCCCCCCACTGGGATTAAGTATGAAACCTGGACATGTGCCCTGACCAGGAATTGAACCGTGATCTCCTGGTGTATGGTCGACACTCAACCATTGAGCCACACTGGTTGGGCTTAACTTATTTTTTTAAAGTTATATCTATATATCTGATTATGCAGGAAGAAAATCTAAAATACACAACAAACTGTTAATCAGTGGTTATTTCTGATTGAAGAACTTTATTTTATTGTTTTTTTATATTGCCTAAATAAAATTTGATACACTCATTATCTAAATGACAGACAATACAAACGTGTAGAGTGCTTCAATACTTTGACAGTTGATTTGGTAGCTTTGACTGCTACTAAGTGACTAATGGGCAGGTAGTGAATTCAGTGTGTATATGCTGGACAAAGGGATGATTCATGTCCCATCTGGGATGGAGTAAGATGGTGTAAGATTTCATCATGCTACTCAGAATGACATGCAGTTTAAAACTTGTGAATTGTTTATTTCTGTAATTTTTCACTTAATATTTTTGGACTACTTTGTGAAAAGCAAAAACCACAGATAAGGGGGAGCCACTATGCACTATTGTTTACATATACAGTGCAGTCACTTGTCTCTCAACATGTTCTCATATGTGATTTACACACATACACACACACACACACATTTATATGTAATTATATAAGTAAGATTAAACTATATGTAATTCTGTACTATTTTTCTCTTAACCTTGGGTGATTAAGATATTTTCATTCCATATAATATAGGTATGCATTATTTTCTTTATGTCTGTGTACTGTTTCCCCCTGTAGATAATACTCCATTGATTCTTGTCAGTCAGTTGTCAGCAGTGGCTCTCAAATGGGCTTTGGCTCTAGAGAGTACTCTGGGCCAGAAGTCCTGTGTAAATTCCTTTTGGGGACCCCAAGAGGTGGTTGGAGTTAAATGGCTTTTCTAAGCAGACTTGGTTTTCTCTGGTGACTCTTGGAATCAGTGCCAGTGGGAAGAGACTCCAGTAATAAGATTCAAGCAGTAAGTTCCCTTTTAAAGTGTGCGGCCAGGATTGGCCTAGGCTTTAAAGTGAAAGGGACTTAGGAGTGTGGGGACTAATTGACGGAGAACAGATAAAGACATCTGGTTCAGGTCCTGGAACAAAGCCGGAGATAGAGGATAACCTTATCAGTTGTGGGAAAGAATGCAAGTTTCTTTTAGGCCAGCGGGTGGAGATGACTTTTTTCAGGGATGAGGACTAATCTATGTACTCTCATGGGTTGGGCATTCATCAGAAGGCACTGCCTGACGTGTTATTTGCCATATGGAAGTTAAAAATAAACATGATATTTGTTCTTTGATCTCACTACTTAGACAAAGTAAAATGCAATTCAGGTGGTTAGGAAGTAACTATTTAGTTTTCTCACTTCCTTTTTTTTCTTTGTAAAGACCAAGAAAAACGTTCTGTCTGTACTATGTGTTCTATTTCCTTAAAGCGTACTCAGGCATTTGTTATCAGCCAGTCATTTTTTAAAGAGACTTTTATTATGTTTTTGTTTAAAGAGTGTGTGGTTTGTGCCTCTTCCTCCCCCACTCATCACTGACTAGAAAAAAGTGCCAACGTGTTATTACTGCAGACTGACCCAGATTATTGATCAAACTTTCAAGGTATAGGAAAGCTCCCTGATGCCAAAATACATGAGTTGGAAAACCTGGGTTCAGTTTTACACTGCTAAGTGATTTAATTCTTGGAGCAAGGCTTTATCCAAAATGTATGTTTGTAGAGTGATATAGAAAAAGATTATATTTTTTGGGGGGTTATTAATAATTTATTATATAGCACATAAAATTTATTATATAGCACATCTCTAAAAAATTTTATTATATAGCACATCTCTGCCTTGTTAAAGGCTATCCCAAAATTATTTTTTCTCTCTGTATCTGCCTCTCTTGCATATACACACACTCATGTTCTTTGTGATGGACTTATATATTACATTAAAACTCTGAAATATGCCTTAAAATAACATACTATTTATTAACTTAATAAACTTATTGAATGAAGGCACTTTTATGGATATTGGATATATGAAAATGAATAACACATGGTCCCCACCTTTAAAGAAATAGAAGGATAGAAGTATATGCCAGAGTATCTGGAAGATAACAGACAAAAAGAAGGTAAAATGGTTTTACTATGGATGCCTGGAAAAGCTTATTAGAGCTGAAGATTTTTGAGAGGGTGTTGTTCACTGTACACTAGTAGGTGGAGAGGGGTCAGGGCTTGTTGGCATTCAAGCCAGTCCAGAACATTATTACCAGGGCCATAGAGGCTGGAGGAATCATGATACTGCAAATATGGCTAATGTGAAGGGTATTGTATAAAAGAGTAGGAGGAGCCCTGACCGGTTTGGCTCAGTGGATAGAGTGTCCGCCTGCAGACTAAAGGGTTCAGGTTCGATTCTGGTTGAGGGCATGTACCTTGGTTTAGAAACATCAATGATGTTTCTAACTCTCTATCCCTCTCCCTTCCTCTCCGTTAAAAGAAAAGAAGAGTGGGAGGACATGGTGCTAGTGAGTCAGGAGAGGTTGAATGTTATTCAGAAGGTTTTTAAATGGTTAATTAATATTAATAAAATCGGGGAAAGATTATCTGACAAGGGGGGGAGGCAAGATTCCAGGTGGGGGATCACTTTGCAAAGAAATCTAGATGGAAGTGCCATGGGCCTAGACTGTCAAACTAAGTGATTAAAAATCAAAATGAGAATGAGGAGAATAAAGGTGGAGAATCAATAAGATACATATATGGTAAAGGAGAGGGAAAAATCAGTATAACTCCCAGATAATCTCTTTTGGGAGATTTTAAAAGATGCTGGTGGCCATTTGAGAAGAAGCTGGCTTAGGAAGGAATAATAATAAGTTTGGTATTTGAGACATCCAATAAGATGTCTTTGGTAAGTAGTTGGATCTGGAGCTCAGAATAAGAGTTTGTCTTCAAGGATTCAGAGTAATTATGATTGAATTTTTTGAAACTACTGAAATAGATGTGATAATTTAGGAATTTAAGAAGAGAAGTATTAAAGATAAGGCATGAACATTTTGGAGATGAGTCAGAAGGTTAAGAAGGAATGGTCTGAAACAAATTCTCTGAATTTGTTGGATAGAGAGCACTGGTTATTGCTAATGGGACTTTTAGTAGTATGTTAGGAGTAAAAGCCAGATTGCAGACTAATTCTGTATATTATGTTTACTGAATTACAGGTTTAATTATTTCATTGGTTAATTTCTTAAAATTAAGAAATACTTAAAAGATACTGCTAAATTTAGAGAATTAATTAACCAACTCCAACCTTTAAAGTTTTTTTTAAAGCTTTTTATTTTAAAATAATTGTAGACTCAGGAAATTACAAAAATAGTACAGAGACATCCTCCTCTATAACCTTTACTCAAGCTTTCCTCCATTCACTTGTTCTTTTTTAAATTTGTTTTGTTAATCCTCATCCAAGGATATTTTTTCCATTTATTTTTAGAGAGAATGGAAGGGAGACGGAAAGAGAGAGGAACATCGATGTGAGAGAGAGACATCAATTAGTTTCCACCATGTCCTGGCTGGGTACATGCCCTTGACCAGAATTGAATCGGAGATCCTTCAATTGGAGGACGGACAATCTAACCACTGAGCAATATTAGCTAGGACCACCTGCTCATTTTAACAAACGTCCTGAAGTAGTGCAAATGCTAATGTTTGGGATGGGTTGTGGAACTATATAGGTAGTGTCGATTTGTAGTCCGTACCTCTGCGTGGTGCATATCTGGAGTTTTGATTTTCATAGGAGCCTCTCTCCCCACACTGGGAGCAGGGCAGATGGCAAGCTGCCTTGCTGCTTCTCAGGGCATATGGATAGAGTTTCCTTTTCACGTATTGAGCAGACCTTTTGAGGATTTTGGCTCAAAATAGGGGTTTTACTTCCAGCTTTCCCTGAAATAGGCTCAAAATTAGGTTTTTCTACCTCTTTAGGCCATTGTCCCCTGAGACTACGTTGGCGTCAGCTGGAACTTTAGGTCTTTGAGTTTCTTCTTTTCTGGCACCTAGAAATCCTCCCCTCCCCCTCTTTTTTTTTATTTTTATCTTCACTGGAGAATATATTTATTGATTTTACAGAGGAAAGGAGGGAGGGAGAGAGAGACTGAGAAACAGAAACGTGGATTGGTTGCCTCCTGTTTGTGCCTCAATCAGGGATGAATGTGCAACCTTTTGGTGTATGGGGACAACACTCCAACCAAGCCACCTGTCCAGGACTCCCCCTTTTCAAATTCAGCTGTACTAATTTCTCATGTTGATTTAGCATCTTAGTGAATTATTTGGGCACATGTATATAAAAGTCCAGTCTGCCTTATTGCTTGAATCAAAAGTCTAATAAATGCTTTCTTAATTTCTTACTTCTTAATTTTATTCTCTGCTTTGTCTACAAAAAGGATTTGAAGTCAGATTACATTACTCTCATTAAAAATATTATTTAGCCCTTGCTGGGTGGTTCAGTTCGTTGGAGCATCGTCCTGTATATCAAAAGGTTGCAGGTTGATTACCAGGCAGGGTGTGTATAGGAGGCAAATGATGTTTTTCTCTTCTTTCTCCCTTTTTCTCTCTCTTTCTCTCTCTCTCCCTCTCTCTTTCTTTTTCTCTCTTTCCCTCCCTCCCTCCCTCTCTCCTTCCCTCCCTCCCTCCCTCCCTCCCGCCCTCTTTCCACCTCACACTCCTCCTTCCTCTTTTTCTAGATTCAATAATAATAGTAAAAACATACCCTTGGGTGAGAATTAAAATATATGTATACATTATTTATTTTTTAAATGGATGATACATGAATGTTGTATGAAGTTGGAAACATAAAAAAGGATATAAAGATCTCCCTTTGCCCTGTTCCATACTTCATGGATTTTGCCTTCACAGGTACACTAGATACTAGTCTCTTACATATCCTAGAGATATACTGTGCACTAGTTTTTGTTGTTGTTTTTTAATATATTTTTATTTATTTATGGAGGGAGAGCAAGGGAGAGGGAGATAGAAACATCAGTGAGAGAGAAATGCTGATCAGCTGCCTCCTGAATGCCCCCTACTGGAGATGGAGCTCGTACCTGGGTATGTATCCTGACCAGAATTGAACCAGCAACCTCTTTGTGCATGGATCAATGCTCAACCACTGAGCAACACTGGAGGGGCACTTTAAAGTAGTGTGTATAATTTAATTTTGTAACCAGTGCTCAGGATTTTTTTTACCTGCTTAACAAATAGCAATTGTAGTTTTTTCTTTCCTGGGAGCTTTTGAGAGAGAATGCTAACCCTAATTATATGTTATATGTATGTTTTTATGTATATAAATGGATTATTTGTGTTTTAATTTTTGTTCACTTCAAAAATCCCTCAGAATCTGACAAAATAGTGTACGTTGTTGGTTTGAATGTTTTAAGTTACGTGGACTATTAAATAATGGACATTAACCTTACTTTTTGGGATGTAGTATAAAATGATATTTTAAAATACTGGAATTGAAACACATGGAGGATAGCTTTCAAAATTGTTCTAATTGCTAACCAGTAAATGCTATTGTTTGCATAAGTGCAGAAAATTGCCGGAAGAAGTGAGGGGTCTGTCAAAGTTGAAGTCCTCCTTTTTAGGTTCCTTAGCCACTGTATATACTATTGATTGCCTAAGTCAGCTTGGTGAAATTCAGTGTCATGGAAGCCTATGATCTAATATGTTTTCTTCCTTAGATCAACCTCTCCACTTCTCCTACACCTGCACAGTTAATAAGCCGTTCCCAGGCTTCCAGTTCTACCAGCGGCAGTATTACCCAACAGACTATGTTACTAGGGAGTACCTCCCCTACCCTAACTGCAAGCCAAGCTCAAATGTATCTCCGAGCTCAAATGGTAAGATGTGAGCTACCAAATTTTTTTAGCGTTTAAGGACTTGAGAGAGATCAAAATATTTCTTGATTTGATGCAATAAGGACATTTTAAATATTTAAGATATGTTTAACAAATTTTTATGTGTGTGTGCTCAGCTCTTATACATTTATGTCATGAAAAATTCTTTTAATTGGTAGGCCTTCTTGGTGTTTCAAATAGTAACATGCGAAGCTGACAAATCTGTAACAGAGGAATGATTATTTTTTTAATATCAGATTTCATTGATTTCAAACCTTTTTTTTTCACATTTTAACATCTGAAACTGAGATGCATTTTATAATTGATAGCGTTGTACATTTATAATTGTACTTATAGTGATACATAAAATCATTGTATATCATTGACATCTTAGATTTGAAGAAGATTTAATGAAAATGTTAAATATGTTATAAACTTGGTTGTTAACTATAAGTTAGAATTTATATTGTGACATCTTCTGAAATCAGGATTGAAGTTTCGGTAATTTACCAAATGATTCTGAGCTTTGGTTATTCCCATCTCCAATTTTGCAAGGTAATCTGTGTTTTTAAGCTCACTCTGATCTTTTATTAATACAGGAAGGTTAATTTGGCTATTCTGACTTCTTGATTTAACTGTTGAGCTTCTTTAAGAAATGCAGAAATTGGCTGACATTTATTTTTTTGATGTCTTTGTATGTAGTTAGATAAAAACTTTGGCCCTAGCATATATTTATTTACTTTCCTTTTTTTGTCCAGTGAACTGAATATATATCTGGATTCCCAGGTCTGCACTAAAATTGCAAATAAAGTTCCCCATCATATTTCTAATAGGAAACAATGATATGACCCATCTACAGATTGTTCAGTAGGCATTGACATTTTCCCGCCATGAGCTCTTATTTAATTAATAATATGATTCAGAATTAAGCTGCATGAACCATTTGAAATGGTTGTAATTTGACTGTTTTTGACCCCTTGGAAGTTTCATATGGTTCACGTTAAATAGAACATCTTCTCTTTAGGTTTAGTGCTTTTAGTTGTTTGTACTGGAAATTAACTTCTTGTGAATGTTATGTTTTTTTGATTAATTCACTTAAATTTACCAATAACATACTATAAAGAACTGAAATATAAAAGATTCCTTAATTGATAATTTTAATTTAAACAGGAATGGTTTTTGAGGAACTGAATAACTCGATGCAATTTTGAAATAGAGTATTTTACACATTCGTGGAAATAGCTGTTATAATTTACTAAGTTGGATTGAATAATCTCTGAATGGATTGTATTACTTTTTTAAATTAATGGCATTCTGTTTCAGTATTGAAAAAAACAGTTGAAAAGAGATGGTGATTATTAGTAAATAAATCAAGGATGTCTTTTCTTCATTATTTTTTATGTAAAGCTGTTTTTGCAAACTGTTACTGAATTTTGACATGTTCTAATATTTACATTTAGAATGAATTTTTCTTTACAGATTTTTTTAAATCAAGAGCAACCTAGATTTGTACTATAGATCCTATATAGCTAAGTGAAATATTATAGTGTATTATATAGCATAGTTAGCTTTTATAGTAAAGAGGATTGAAAAGACTTTTGGGGGTTTCTTTATGTGTTTCTTTAATTTGCATTCAAGAGTAGTGTCTGTGGTTGTTTATTGTAATCTAAGTTTTTGGGACCCTACCATCGTAGTTTTCAGTTGGGAGAAATTTAAGTATAATAGCTTACTCAGGGAAAAATTTGGTATGAGGATTTCATATTACCAAATTACATATTCCTTTTTGAACACTGATTTATTTTTCTACTCACCAGAATCATGAACTGTTTCAAAAATGTTTATGATTTTTTTTTTTTTAGTTATCTATATCAGAAACTTCTCTTTGTCATGTAAAACCTTTTTTTGCTTAAGAGGAAATTCTAAATTGCATTGTCTTTCTGTCATGAATTTCAGTCTCCCTTGCCTGCTATACATTGTGTGTGAGACATGTTCTTTTTGTCTTAGAGTATTTTTTGTTTTGGTTTTTCTGTCTGTACAGCTGATTTTCACACCCGCTACCACTGTGGCTGCTGTACAGTCTGACATTCCTGTTGTCTCGTCGTCATCGTCATCTTCCTGTCAGTCTGCAGCTACTCAGGTGAGCTTGTCTAGCTTCATAACTGGTACTTGAGATCTGGATCTTCAGGTTAAAGATAAACATACATTGTAGTTTAAGTTACTGATCATTTTAGTGCTCTTTGTCATACATTTCAGATTGAAATTTAATATAACACTATAAGAACTTCAAGAAAATTGTTTTTTCTTCTATAGAAATTATAATACCATTAAATATGGATATTTAGGTTATTTGACATAAATGAAAATAAGTTTTCAATATGACATTGTGTTTCGTTCTATTGTATAGTAGATTTATTTTTTGTTATGTGAGTTGCATTCTTTTGTGTAGATTTCTTTGCAAGCAGCTATATAATTAAGTCAAGATGGATTTTAATATTAAAAATGAATCAAATTGGGTAAATTTTAAATTAAAAAAATGGAATAGAATATTACTTTGTTTAGTACTATGGAAAAAGTGACCCTTCACTTTTTCTCATGTAAATTACAAAAATAAATAGGAGTAGAATATAGACCTAAAGGTAACAGCTGAAAGTATAAAACCTGTAGAAGAAGATAACAGGATATATCTTAACAACTAGGGTGGAGAAAGCTTTCTTCCTAATCATAAAAGAAAATAGAGTATCAAAATTAAAAATTGTTCTCAAAAGACATTGTTACAAAATTGAAGAAGCAAGTCATAGACTAAGGGAAAATGTTCACAATACATATATCAGAAAATGCAAAGTATGCTTCCAACTCAGTAATAATATGAGCAGTTCAGCCAAAACCGGTTTAGCTCAGTGGGTCGGCTTGCGGACTGAAGGTTCCCAGGTTCGATTCCGGTTAAGGGTATGTACCTTGGTTGTGGGCACATCCCCAGTGGGTGGTGTGCAGGAGGTAGCTGATCGATGTTTCTCTCCCATCGATGTTTCTAGCTCTCTATCCCCTCTCCCTTCCTCTCTGTAAAAAATCAAAAAAATATATTAAAAAATATGAGCAGTTCAATTAAAATTGGGGGAAAGATTTGAACACTTCACAAAAGGTTGACAAGCACATGAAAAAAAATGCTCAACATCATTAATCATTATAGAAATGAAAATCACAATCACATTCAGTAGAATGGCTGAAATGAAGGAGGCTGATTCTGGAGAATGTAGAGCAGCCATATTCTCAAAACATTGCTGGTGATAATGTAGAGTGGTACAACTACTTTGGAAAACAGTTTGTCATTTCATTATAAAGTTAAACATATGCTTACCATGTGACCCAGCAATTGTACTTCTAGATGTTTACTGTGAGAGATTTGAAAACATATATCCACAGGAAGATATGTAAACAAATGTTCATAGCAGCTCTGTTCAGCCCCAAACTGGAAACAACCAATGTTCTTTAACTGGTGAATGTATAAACAAATTGTGGAATATTACTTGGAAATTTAAAATTATGAAAACAAAAAACTAATGCATTTCAGATACATTATAATTTGCTTGGTCAGTGTGGCTCCATGGTTAAGCGTCAACCCGTGAACCAGGAGGTCACAGTTCAATTCTCAGGGCACGTGCCCAGGTTGTGGGCTCAATTCCCAGTAGGAAGTGTGCAGGAGGCAGCCGGTCCATGATTCTCTCTCATCATTAATTTCTCTATCTCTCTCTCTCTCCTTTCCTTTCTCTGAAATCAATAAAAAAAAATTGAAAAAGAAATATTATAATTCACAAAAGAGGCCAGACACTACAGTGTCCATACTCTGATTTATTTATATGAAATTCCAGAACAGGCAAAACTAATCTATAGTGAAAGAAATTGGATTGGTGGTACCAGGGCTCAGAAGATAGGGGAGATTGATGTGGAAGGGGCATGAGTGAAATTTCTGGGTGATGGGAATGTTCTATATCTTGATTGGAGTGGTAGTGATATGTCGTATACATATATCAAAATTCACTGAATTGGTTCATTCATTTTATTGAATGTAAGTTACACCTCAGTAAAGTTGGTAAAAATGTAAATTTTAAATGAAAGCAATTGAGTAAAATATTACTTTTTCCATAGAAACTAGTATATCTTAGGATCATTCTTGCCTCTTTCTTTTAATTTAATAGTTTCAGTGTTCTGGTAAAAAGCAAAAAATAAGGTAGTAATAATATTCTTTGTTACTTTTCATAGATCTCTTTACATTATATTTTATTTAATAATAAGGGCCAATTTTAATATATTAATTTATAAAAATGCTGGCCCATTAAATTCAAGTTTTTCTTAACGGCTCTGTGATCCTCAACAATTCCTGAACTTTATTGGACTTTAGTTTCCATGTTTACAAAATGAGGCCTTTGTTTTTGTTAACTTTAAGATTTTTTTCAGCTCTAAACTTTTTTTAATAAATGTCTTTTCATGAGATAGATTTGTTGAAGTAATGATTTTGCTGTTTGGTTTTTAAATATATTTTTATTGATTTCAGGGAGGTAGGAAAAAGGAGAGAGGTAGAAATATCAGTGAGAGAGAATCATTAATCAGCTGCCTCCTACACGCCCCCCTACTGGGGATTGAACCAGCAAGCTGGGGCATGTGGCCTAACCAGGAATCAGACTGTGACCTCCTGGTTCATAGGTTGATGCTCAACCACATAGCCACATCAGCTTGGCTGTGTTTTTTTTTTTTTTTTTTTTTTTTTTTTAATTTTTTATTTATAAAAAAAACCTAATAGAGCTAGACCATTATCAACTTCCAGAATATTTTCCGTGTTATTTTTTATTTATATTTTGTTCGAACTGAAATTTTAATTGATTTATAAGATGTACACAATAAAACAAGATAAAATAAATGTAAAGCCTGCCAGAAAAAAGGAAAGTGGCACGGAGGTAGGAGTAAGGAGGCTATTCAGGTTATATGCATGGACTTAATTTCAACTCCCACTACAGTTACTTAATAGTTGTGTGGCTTTAGACAAGTTACCAAACATCTCTAATAGTCATACATACTTCCAGGGTGGGCTGAAGAATGAGTAGTATGTATATTTAGTGTCTAGAACATTATGGGTACTTATTAGTACCTTTTTTGGCAAGTGGGGGAACAGGAAGACCTGGGTTCAAATTCTGACTTCAGCAACAGTTGCCAACATTGTCACTTGCTAGTTGATTGATTTTGGACAAGATCTTAGTATAGCACAGTGTATAAGTTTGAACTTTGAAGCTAGATTCTCTGGGTTCAAATGCTCTACCACTATTGGATATCCTTAATTTCTTGCTTCAGCTCCAACAATATAAAATAAAATAAATACTTACAAAGTAATTATAATGCTTATTTTATAGTTTTGTAGTGAGGATTAAATATGTTAATAAATGAAAAACAGAACAATGTTTCATACATAGTTAGCACTTACTAAACAGCTTTTATTATTACCTTTTCAAGGCCTCAGTTTCTTCATTGTAAATTGAAATGATAGCTCAGAGTTGTTATAAAAATACATGAGACAATAATTATAAAGTACTTAATATTCTGCCTGGCATGTTAGATATCACATGCCACTAATTACTATTTTCGTTATATATTGTCTAAAGACGAGTCACAAATTTGGTACTTAGCTTTGAAGTGAAAAGAGAAACACAACCGTCTAAAAGATTTACAGTTTCCAAGGTATATAGGAAAATATAACTAACATACTCTCTAAAGCACAATCTGTCTTGTGTGTTCTCATGGAGAAGACATATTACAGTGTCTTTAATGGTATAATGAACATAGTAATTTACAAAAGTGGCTTCAGCTTGATGTGACACAGGTATAGGGCTTTGTGATAATATGACTTAATTAAAAGGTAGACTTTAAGGAGCCTTCAGAAATTTCTCTGCAAATGTTTTTCTCTTCTGTGCTTTTGAAATGTCAGTAAGGGAGTGGTAAGTGATGCTAATACTTTGATTATTTCAGTGGTAACTTTCCTTAAGTTCAGGGTTCTTAGTTTTGAAAAATTTGTGCTTCACTTTGTTAATTTTAAAGCTTATATGTTCAGTTTTTAAAATAATTAGTGTGTAATTGAGAACTAACAAATTTGAAGTTTTATTTTAGTACTCTTTTTAAGTGATAGAAGTCAGCATAGTTCATTTTTCCTTATTATTAAAATTTATTTATAGAATACTAAGGAAAAGAAAATTCAGAGTATTTTACTTTTATTTACTATTTTAAATGTTCTATCCCTTCTCCCCACTATTTTTTTCAGAAATTTTTTTTCAGGAAGGTATCATAGAACTAAAAATATGTTTGTAGAAAAGTAAGAAATCTTGCTTACCATGGCTATCTGGGGAATGCTGCGAGAATTGAGAAGAAAACAGTCCTTTGGATTTAAAATCTAGAAACTTAGCTCTGTTGCCGCCATTGTGATATTAACTCTTAGTTTTCTCATCTGCAAAGAAGGGACGCTGCTGTAATTCACAGAATATTTCTTAGATTCAAATAGAACAATTGGTGTGAGAGTATTTGGGTAATTCACTATAAAAATCTAAGGTGTGAAATTAGCAAAAATACTTCACATGAAATTTAGAATTTTTCAAAAGTCAGAAAAGTTTCCATAATTTGATCATAGTTTTCATTTAGATGAAATTAAAGTTGGACTTCAGAGTACACTGATATTCTTTATTTAGAAAGGTGTGTTTTCTGCAGAAGTGAAGCTATGTCAAGGAAATCTGAATATGTGATCTTCCTATTAATAGCTAATTTAACTTTGTAATATAATTTAAAAGTATAGTTTAATATTTGAAATGTAATATTTAAGCCAAAATGACCACAGATAGGTATTATGGCCATAGTCTAAAATTTATCTATTTATATAAATAATATATAAATAATAAAGAGGGGATATGCTAATTGACTGCCATGCCCTCAAAGATGGCGGTGCCCACAGCCACATGATGGTGGCGCCTAGTCCCCTCAGCCCCACCAGGCAGTAGGCATGCATCAAGACCAGGCCTGCCTTCGGAGTCCCCCAGTCTCCTCTGCCCCCCAGCCACCCAGAGCTAGCCTGAGGCGTAGGCAAGCCTCGGATGGCGGCTGCCCAGCTACCCAGGGCTGCCTGAGGCTCAGGTAACCAGGGCTGGCCAAGGCTTGTGCTGTCGGCAGTGGCAGCAGTAGAGGTATGATGGGGCGTTGCCTTTCCCTGATTGCCAGGTCGCCTCCCTCACCTGAAGGCTCCTGGACTGTGAGAGGGGGCAGGCAGGGCTAAGGGACGCCCCCTTCCAGTGCATGAATTTTCATGCACCGGGCCTCTAGTGATATATAATATATAAATTGCACATTTTATTTTTTGCATTAAATTTCAGTATTCCAGAAAACAAAAGAAAAATTAGAAGAAAAGAGTGTATTATTTTATAGAAATGGACTGCATCAGGTTTTAGGGTTCATTGAGTCAAATCTTCATTTACATTGAAAATATATATACTTTTCATTTGAAGGAAATTTTTCACATTTTCAAATTTTAAAAATAAATATCACTAGATATTTGTTGAGATTTTTTAAAAAGTAAAATATGAACAGGTTTTAATGTTAGCCTAAGAAAACCATGAATAGAACTAAAAGGAAAAAAATGTAATATATATGAAATATATATGTGTAGTATATATTTCAGAATCAGATAGAAAAAAATACCTCTGACGTGTGGAGCTTCTGTCATGTTTGCAATACAGAACTGTGGGAGTACAAACATGAATGTCAGAGATGGGAGCAGGCCAATCAGAGCTTCCATATTTCACAGACACAGACATGAGTAATTCTAAAATAAGCTAGACATTAGGCAGTGCTGTAGGCCAATATGACCCAAATTCCATGAGAAAAGCATTAGATAGGAGAGGAGAAATTATTTCTAATCAGGGTTTAGGGAGGATTCTTTGGGATTTTTACTGGGCCTTGAAGAAGCTTTGAGGAAGAATGGCATTTGAGGCAAGAGGAGCTTGAGCAAGGATGGTAAGTGAGCAAGGTAGTTTGGAAAAGGGCAAATAGAACAATATGGCTAGAATATGAGAATGATGGACTGGAATAGTGGAGAATGTGGCTTGAAGTGATTTGGGCCTTGACTTTGAGAAACCTGGATTTTAGCACATTTTATTTTTTGCATTACATTTCAATAATAAAGTAGTTTTAGTTCACTTATATTGCTGGGAAATATTTGACAAAAATCAGAGAAGATATAGTCTCACTTAGAAGATTATTTCAATAGCTTAGAATAGAACTGATGGAAACCTCAACTGCCCCCAAAATATTTTTTTAGCACTTGCTATTGGCTGATCACTGCATTTGGCACCTGGATCTAAGATAATGTATAGCCTTTAAGCATCAGTTAATAATATAGTTGTAGAGACTGAACACACATGAAACTGGGGAATATTTATGAAGCACAATATATCATTTGCTTTGTCACTTTATAATTTCTTTTACTTCAGTTTCCTTCTCAGGGCTAGTGGTAGCATAAATGTATTTGGTGCATTCATTCCAGATAAACAAAAACTTGGGCAGCTATTGGAGAGGCTATTTAAAAATGTTATTAACTTCATGTGACTGTAATTGGATTATCCTTGCCACCATGCAGACTGGCAGTATGTTTAGAATAACACTGGGTATAGATAGGAGCTGTCACAGAAACCATTTCAAGGCCATACACAATCTTTTAAATTCATGAAATCTGTTTCTCAAAGGCAAGTGAGTGTTCCATACAACAGCAACAGCATATAACAAACATCTTTAAAAAGGAGTTAGTGGGAAATGATTTTCATAATTACCATAGTGGGGTAGATAATTTGATGCATTCATTTTCTTACTAGTACAAGATTAGCATTCCCTTATAATCTCAGTTGAGCTGATAACTTTTTTGTTATCTTTCTTATACTTATTAAGACAGCAGTATTGTATCCACACTCTCTAATTATGTAAGTTTATGAGATACTTGTAACCTTAAAATGTCACAGCCCTGGCATGGTACAGGTCTGAGATTGAAGGAATTGCTCATTGTTCCCTACACACCTTGGGCTCCCTGCCTCTGCATCTTTGCTCAAGTATTCCCTTTTACTTGGAATGACCTTTCTCAAAAATGCAGTATGTTGCAGAGTAATTTGCTCATAGTTCAAAATTCATATATATATATATATATTCCATTTTTATCGAGCTGTTAATGATTCTTACCCTTAATGTCTTTTTTAAAAAAATCACTTAATACTTAGCATTTGATTATTTAGAATAATAACTCCCCTTTCTTACAGGATTAATCAGTAGTTTTAAGTGCTTGGAGCTTTATGAAAAGCATAATATAAATATATTGTCATTATTACTACAATGTAATGATTACCACATGAATTAATACTATCTGTTTCATCCATATTTTTTGTTATGTGGTTCTTTAGGTTCAGAATTTAACATTACGCAGCCAGAAGTTGGGTGTGTTATCTAGCTCACAGAATGGTCCACCAAAAAGCACTGGTCAAACTCAGTCATTGACAATTTGTCATAACAAAACAACAGTAACCAGTTCTAAAATCAGCCAACGAGATCCTTCTCCAGAAAGTGTTAGAAAAGGAGAAAGTCCAAGTCTGGAATCACGAAGCACAGCTGTCACCCGGACGTCAAGTATTCACCAGTTAATAGCACCAGGTGGGATAAAACTTTTGTTGAAAATAGTTGCATTTTCTTAGCAGGCAGAGAAAAACAAAAGATGTCCATTACTTGAATAAAAATGATAATTTTAAAGCATTTTATAATGTGAATTTCGTAAGTAAAAAGAAAAACACATTTCAATATTGTAGCTTGAAAAAAGAGAAATCCAAAGAGCCCAATAGCTAAAACAAATTATAATAATAAAATGGATTTTTGGGGGTGAGTTGACATTTGATTAACATCTTCATTATGTGTTAGTTTCCTACTATAAAAATAAAACCTTTTAGCTTTAGAAACAAAATTTGTGTGTAGTTCATTTAATATGCTTTAGTAGAACAAAATTAAAAGCCTTTTAAAAAAGTATTTATTATTTTTGTTTAAAATTGTCATTAGTGGGAGGAATTTATCACTTTCCAAAAATAAGATTATGCACAATTATTTTCTTTACCACGTTGCTTTTTTCCATCTTGGTTTTCATCTTTAAGAGGAAGATGTCAGGGAGTCAACTAAGTTATTTTCATTCTCATCAAACTTTGAATCTCATGTGCACTCCTGCTATCTACAGATAATCTTGCTTTATGGTTCTCATGCTGAAAATGTTGGGGCCATCTTGAATGAGTTTTCTTACCATCTCTTCTACTCATTTCAGAATTTGTCAATGTTGAGCTTTCTTCACTTCTAATAAGATAAGGAATTATCTGCTTTCCTTTTTAAGTTAGCACTATTTACGTCATTGATTGCATCGTTTTTACCTTCTGTCATAGTTATTATTGTATCTTTTGCCTTTCTCATGTTGGATATTTTTCCTTTGCTTCTCCAGCATACTTAGGTTTCCCTAACCTTAATATATATGAATATGTTTTTATACCAGTATAATTATTATTTATTGAAAATGTGTGTGTGTGTGTGTGTGTGTGTGTGTGTGTGTGTGAGAGAGAGAGAGAGAGAGAGAGAAAGAGAGAGAGGACTCGAGAGCGAGCGAGAGAGAGAGAGAGAGAGAGAGATAGATACTGGGTTAGACACCTACATATGTTTTATTTTTTTAAAAATTCTTTTATCCAACCTCATCAGGCAAGCAACTTCTTTCTATCCTTTTATAACTGCGTTGCTTTCTAAAGATTTATTTTACACTACTGAAGTCTGCATATACTCCACCTAAACCGATTTCTCTTTATAAGTTTCCTCTGTGCCATCTTCTCTAAATCACCTAATCTCAAGCTGTTAGAATTATTTGATCCCTTTTGTTAGGAATCTCTCATTACTTTGAATTTGTATAGCATTGTTATGCTTTTTTTATGGCACTTTTTCTTTTATAATAGGTGGTAAGCCCTTTGAAGGTAGGATAATAATATTGAGCATTTGTGTATTAGGCACTTTACATTTATTGTTTCTTTTAACCCTTTTTGCAGATTCACCTTTTCATCCTTTTATCTTATACTAGAGGCCCAGGGCACAAAATTCGTGCATGGGTGGGTGCCCCTCAGCCTGGCCTGCATCCCTCTCACAATCCAGGACCACTGGCTCCTAACCCCTCACCGGCCTGCCTGCCTGATTGCCCCTAACTACTCTGCCTGACTGTCTGATTGCCCCTAACTGCTCCCCTGCTGGCTTGATCTCTCCTAACCACCTCTGCGTTGGTCCTGCACCTGGAACCCAGGATTCCCTCCTCCAGCCAGTCACAAACACCCGGGACTCAGGCTTCCCTCCCTCTGGCCGGCCACAGGCACCAGGACCTAGGCCGGCTTTGCCTGGGCTGGCTGCAGCTGCAGGGGACGGTGTTCAGGTGGCTTTGCCTGGGCTACAGGCACTGGTACCCGGGACCGAGGGACAGGCAGCGGGCAGCTTCTCCATCTCCCAGGCCCCAGCCAGACTCAGGCACTGGCACCCAGACTGCGGGCGGGCGGGTTCTCCGTTTCACCTGGGACCACGGGACAGGTGGCTTTTCCAGCTGGCTGGGGCCCGGGACCACAGGGTAGGCTGCTTCTTCATCTCCCTGACCACAGCCAGCCACAGGCAGCTTCACCCAGCTGGCTTTGTCAGGAAGGCGTCCGGATGGTTGTCCGGAAGGTCTCCCGGTTTAATTAGCATGCTATTCTTTTATTAGTAAAATTGTCCAGAGATTCTCAGCTTCAAACCAGCCTATCTGGCCAGTGTTGATAAAAGTCAGTGAGGAGCAACAGTGACCCACTGTACTTGGAATGACTGCTTAGGACAATTTCTAGTAATTCCCACAGTTTTGATAGATTATACTGGAAGGTAGGATAATTCCCTCCCAAAGAGACTGTTACCTTCAGAGAAAGCTAGGAACTTTTTCAGGGTTAGTTCAAGCAGGGAGTTCTACTTTTAGATTTTCAGTCTCCCTGAACTCCCAGTACCTGTTTCTACGTTACACTTATTCTTCCCCCTTTCACTGGTAGTGCAATAATATCCTTGTAGTTGTCTTCCTCTGATGGCCAATATTTTAAGTTGGTGTGGAGGATACCGGTAAGCAAAAACCATCAGAGTCTCGGGAGAATTGCAATTCCAAATTCAGATGCTATGTATATTAACCTAGTATTCTATGGTGGTGTCGATTAGAAACCAAACCAAATGGAACATCCTAACACATATAAACTTTTGTAGCTACCAAATTATAAGTTAGTTAAAATTTATTCAAGCCTTACACTGTGGTTATTCAAAGTAATTTTTATTTTCTGACGAAAGCTGTATTTTCCAGCTTTTTAGCTTTCCTACTCTGCTGGTGGGAAGTTAGTCTGAAGCTAAGCTTTATTTTGGGAGATTCTTGGATAAGTAATTTATCCTTTTTCCTCAATTAGTAAAATGTTTGTTCCTACAGGTAATTTACAAATACTAAAAGAATCTGTATTCCAGTATAGTATAGTTTTATAACTATTATAATGGACAAGGTTATTGCTTCCTTGTATGTATTTTTAGGGTGCTAAATTTGTTTTTTTTTTAATTTTTTTTATTTCTTATTGAAGGGGGAGTTCCCACTTGATAGTTAATAATTCTATTTTTATTATATAAAATAAGGCAAATGTATGGAAATTAACCTTAATATTAGAGCTCAAGTGTTTTTAGAACTTTTATGAAATTAATCTATTAGAAAAATATATATTCCCCTTTTTGTTTATTTGTTTAAAATATTACCTATGGTATTTTATATGTCTCCTTTTGCCCCCATTGACATCCCCCCATATACCTTTTTTTGCAGACATTAATTCAGCATGTAATGAAAAGCCTGTATTAGTCTGTTCAGGCTGCCATGAGGAAAAAAAAAATACCATAGACAGAGTGTTTTAAAAAACAGTTCTAGAGGCTGGAAAGCCCAAGATCAAGATCTGACAGTGTTTAGTTTTTGTCTCACATGGCCTTTCATCTGAGCGCTAGTAGAGAGGATAGTGAGTCCTCTGAGGTCTTTTCTTACAAGGCCACTAATTGTCTTAGGTCAGGGTCCCACCTTTCTGACCTCATTTAATCTTAATTACTTCATTAGTGGCCCCATCACCAAATTGTCATATTAGGGTTAGGGCTTTAACACATAAATTTTGTGGGACACAAACATTCAGTCCATAACAGGAACCCAGACTTAGTTAGAAATACGAGTCCTTGGTGATTTCCGGCAAGTCACTTAATGCTTAGAGTTTAATCACCTGTAACATATTGGATTAGTGTAGTACCCTATCTGTCTCATGGGATTGTTGTAACTATTTGGCGGGAGGGGTTGGGGGTGAGGTAGTGGGGTGGGGTTTCGTAATTATTGAATAAAATAATGTATTTAGTAATTTACAGTAATATGTTATTTATATTATAGTAATTAGAGTTCTACATAAGTGAGAGATGATACCAATCATAAATTCTCCCAAGTATAATGCCACCCTGACAATAAAGTGTTTGTTAAAACCAGAAAAAAAAACAAGCATTATATGATTTTCCAGAGCACTAGTGCTTTTCTTGCACAGAAGTACTATTTCAGATATCCTCATAATTATTCTGTAATAGATGTGCTTGTCAGTTGACTTATGGGTAACATAATAGATTCACTTTGATTTCTGATCAAAGAAAAATTTAACTTAGGTGAAAGAATAGACTATTAATCTGTTGAATTATCAACTCTAGAATATAAAAAAAATTATTTCTATAGCACAGAAGGAATTTTTATTTCTGTGAACATAATATCCATTATTCTTAAAGAATATGCTAAATTTTAATTATAATTTAAAATTGAGTTAAAATGGGCCTTTGCTGTTATACTTGTAAACACTCTTTTTTTTAGTCTGTAAAAGGGAATTAATACCTATCTACTTCATAGGCACTTATTTTTAGAACAATGAGCAATGTGTAAGTACCTTGAGCCCCTTGGAAGAAAGGCACCCTATAGATATTCAAATTTTTGCTGAAACTGGTTTGGCTCAGTGGATAGAGCATCGGCCTGTGGACTGAAAGGTCCCGGGTTCCATTCCGGTCAAGGGCATGTACCTTGGTTGCAGGCACATCCCCATTAGGTGGGTGTGTAGGAGGCAGCTGATCGATGATTCTCTCATATCGATGTTTCTAACTCTCTATCCTCTCTTCCTCTCTGTAAAATATCAATAAAATATATTTAAAAAAATAGATATCCAAAAATTTATTGAATACTCATAGTCTTTATCATTACATTTATAAAATGCTGACAATTTTCAGTTTTAGTTTGAAATGCCAGTCTAGTTAGATGAAAATTATTTTGTTAGATGAATTTTAATTTTCATTTAAAAAATTCATGGATATTTGTTGGACTTTCTAAATATCCTTTTGAGATGTTAACCAGATGTTAATTTTCTTAAAGGATCTCAAAAATTTAAAAAACCCACCAAATGCAGAAATGTTTAAAAAGAAAAGTTGCTAGAAGTTTTATAAGGCCTTTGTCACAAATGTGGCTGAGTATAAAAATAGATGCAAGATGGTTCTTTATCTTCACATTCTGAAATTAAGAAAAAAATTTTGCCCTATCTTTAGCTCTGTTTTAATTTTTACATGATATTAATATTATGCCCCCTTTTCAGTTTATCTTCTAGTGAACCCAGTTTCTTTTTTGTACACTTATTTTCAATTACAGTTAGCATACAGTATTTTATTAGTTTCAGCTCTGAAACATAATGATTATATGTTTATATATATAGTGAACCCAGTTTCCATTCTTATTTAGATAGAGTGGATTTCACCAGCAGCTCCCTCTTTATAAACATAAACACCAGTATGCAAAAGAGGCCAAATGATGGGGATACTTGGTTTTGTTAATTCTTTATCTGTATTGTTGCTGTTGTGAGTGACTCCTCTGTGGAGAAAACTATAGTAGTTTTTATAGATTACTGTAGGGTGTGTGTGTGTGTGTGTGTGTGTGTGTGTGTGTGTGTGTGTGTTTGCTTGTTTGCTTGTTTTTTTGGGGGGGGGGCAGAGAAGTAAAACAAGATCTTTATTTAGACAGTATGATTTTTTTATTGCCTCATTTTCTCTGCAAGCAAAACTAGTGCTTTCCTAGATTTGGAAGGGCCCCTGGAATTTGATTTCCTTTACATTGATTATTTGACTGTGCTCTAGGAGTTACACATCTGTTTTGCTTAATTGAATTATCTTTTCCTGCAAAACATTTTCACTTCCTTGGTCAAATAATACCAACTCTTTCATCTTGGCTCAATATGGTAACTTATTTGGGAAGCTTTATAAGTGATTACATTGGTGATTAGTTGGAAGAATATTTAGATACAGATTAGAAAGGATGATACTTTTATTTTACGGATTTTAATATTGCATTTTTTTATGATTTGAGGTTATCTTTATATATGTTATACTTATTCAGTGATACTCCTCTTCTCCCCAAAGAAGGAATTTAAGTGGATAACATTGTTAAAAGTTAACAGATTTTCTGGGGACCTATACAATTTAATAAGAATAAATCATGTATAGATTCAGATTTATAAATTGTTTTAGGCAGTTTTATCACAGTGCAGCTTATTTTATGAAATTTATAGTTTCCAAGGAAAAATTATTTGTTATTACATTTTGAAGTTACTCTTATTTGGAAGACTTTTAGTAGCCTTCTGATGTAAAAATTTTCCTTTAAATTTATTTAAAATTTCAATGATATTTTTAAAATAGATACTAATTGTCATTTTCTCTCTCTCTCACAGCTTCATATCCTCCAATTCAGCCTCATCCTCTAATAAAGCATCAACAGATTCCTCTTCATTCACCACCTTCCAAGGTTTCCCATCATCAGCTGATACTACAACAGCAGCAGCAGCAAATGCAGCCAATTACACTCCAAAATCCAACTCAAGATCCACCCCCATCCCAGCACTGTATACCACTCCAAAACCATGGCCTTCCTCCCAGTAATGCCCCGTCACAGCATTGTTCACCAATTCAGAGTCATCCCCCTCCTTTAACAATGTCTCCTAGCCAGTCACAGTCAGCACAGCAGTCGGTGGTGGTGTCTCCTCCACCACCTCATTCACCAAGTCAGTCTCCTACCATAATTATTCATCCGCAAGCACTTATTCAGCCACACCCTCTTATGTCATCCGCTCTCCAGCCGGGGACAAACTTGCAACAGTCCACTGCTAATCAGGTGCAGCCAACAGCGCAGCTGAATCTTCCATCCCATCTTCCACTTTCAGCTTCCCCTGTTGTACACATTGGCCCCGTTCAGCAGTCCGCCTTGGTGTCCCCAGGTCAGCAGATTGTGTCTCCAACATCACACCAGCAATATTCAGCCCTGCAGTCCTCTCCAATCCCAATTGCTACTCCTCCGCAGATGTCAACATCTCCTCCAGCTCAGATTCCACCACTACCCTTACAGTCTATGCAATCTTTACAAGTGCAGCCTGAAATTCTATCCCAGGGCCAGGTTTTAGTACAGAATGCTTTGGTGTCAGAAGAGGAGCTTCCAGCTGCAGAAGCTTTGGTCCAGTTGCCATTTCAGACTCTTCCTCCTCCACAAACTGTTGCGGTAAACCTACAAGTACAACCACCAGCACCTGTTGATCCACCAGTGGTAAGCCCTTGGAAGCTATTTGACTTTCTTGCTGAACTGAAAGTAAAAACAGTTTTCTCCTACATTGTGTTTATTGCTAGAGCTATATGCCTGTGAGTTTTAAAAGCTGGAATTTTACATCTGTCAATTTCTGACAAACATGCTGTATGGGGAAAAAAAAAAAAAGGCAATTTGTTGTATGGTTGCATGCTTGATAATTTGTGATGGTTATTAAAATCCCTTGTTAATTTTATTACTATTTAAACAAATCCATCTGCTATCTTTACAGAGTTGATTTTTTTTCCCCAAGGGAATACATTTGAACCAGTGTCATCTGCACAAAGTTTTTTCTCTTAAGGTGATTATCCTTCATAGATCCCTTCTGTTGGCTTGTATGTTCTTAAACGTATGGCTTATGTAGCTAACCTTTTTGGTTGTATGCATTCTGAAGTCCTGGGCCTGCCTTTAGAAGCTTTTGTTTCAAGATGGAGTATGCTTGTATGATACAATTTTTTCTTGTAAAATTATATATTGTAATTAAAATGATAAAAACATTTATTCTAGAGAAGAATTTAACTTTACAAAAAAATTAACTGTAGACTATCAGAATTATTAAACTTCTAATTTTTAAATTTCCACTAAGGGAAAATATATAATTAAAATATTTCTCATTTAAAACCCTGGGAAAATCTCAGTGGATGAATACTGAGGATGAAAAAAAATCCATTGGAAGAATAAAAATTTTGAGTAATTGAGATTGTGGTGAAGTTTATCAGACTAAACCTCTAAAAATAGTGCATGCTGTCTAGAAAGGAAAATTGTCTTGAAAAGTGTTTTTCTTTAAAAATTTTCTAAAGGATTTTTAAAATTTATGAAATAATTTACAGTAAAAATTGAATAAGGTCTTAGAATCTTTAGGCAGAATGATCAAATTAATAATTAATTATAATTGAAGAAAACCATCTTCCCAAAAGGAGGTTTATATCTTTACATAAAAACCTCACTGAAGGGACTTTATCACTAAAAGACCTGTAACCATTTGCCCAGAAAGGAAAGGAGTTTCAAAGTCTGTTCCTTAATGGGAAACATTTTGGTCCTCAGGATGCTAATTTATAGATTTTTAAAATTGTCATTCAGACTGATGTAATAGGCATAAAGAGATTGAATTCCATTTCCTTTTATTAAAAACTAGAGGCCTGGTGCATGAATTTGTGCACTGGTGGGGTCCTCAGCCTAGCCTGCTCCCTCTTGCAATCTGGGACCCCTTGGGGGATGTTGGACTGCCTGGAGAGTATAGTACTGGGGCCGGGCTCTGCGCCACTCCTGCTCATCCCAGCCCCACTGTGCCTGCCGCCACTGCTACTTGATAGCATGCTGCTGTGGTGGCAGGAGAGGCTTGCGCCTCCGCAGCTGTGCTTGAAAGCCGTGAGCCTATGTCTAGTGCCCATCAGTCAGCTGAGTGGCACTCCCACTGTGGGAGCACACTGACCACCAGGGGGCAGGAGCTCCTGTCCCCTGGTGGTCAGCACACATCATAGTCATTCACTTGTTCGGTTGCTTAGGCTTTTATATATAGATGGAATTGACAGAAACAACAATGGGCATCTAGAAGTAAGTTTACCATTCAATTATCGTGCCTATATTTTATTTTAATGGAATTTTGGAGCATTTACAATGAATATTGTAACAAAAATACAGGTTTTGAAGTGTGTAGTATCTTCAAAGAAATCAAATTTAATTTAAATTTATATTTTTACTTTCTAGTTTAGTGAATTTGTTTTTAACAAGTAGAAAATAAATTTTTTTTATATACTTTACACTTTTCCAATTGTTTTTGTTAGGATAAACTTTGGATGAATATATTTGGGATAGAAATATGAAAAACAACACTTAAAGCTAAAAATATTATGCTCTTAATTTGTTATTTCCTGATCTATTTTAAAGAAATTTTTTTGTTTTAAATTTGTTATCTCATTATTTGAAGGATGTCTGTGTGTCTGTGTGAAAATGTTAACTTTCTCTGCTGTCACTGGTATGCTCATGCTACCAGTATTACCAATATTTCATACACTTTCCTGTGAGTACCATAGCCTATTTATTAAGTTGCTGTATGTTTCTTTTATTATCTTTGATCAAATATTTTTTCCCCTCAAATATTTCTTCACGAATTACACCTGTCTTTATAATTTCCCAATTGTTTAGAATATTTGAAGGTAAAAAGCTCTATTTACTTCTTAAAAGAATTCAAATTTTGAAAATGTGAATTATCAAAGTAAAGTCAGTATGTTGTTTTGTTGTGTTTTTTTTTTTTTTTTTTTTCTTCAATATATTTTTATTGATTTCAGAGAGGAAAAGAGAAGGAGAGATAGAAACATCAGTGATGAGCCGAAACCAGTTTGGCTCAGTGGATAGAGTGTCGGTCTGTGGACTGAAAGGTCCCAGGTTCAATTCCGATCAGGGGCATGTACATTGGTTGCGGGAACATCTTGCAGGAGGCAGCTGGTCGATATTTCTCTCTCATTGACGTTTCTAGCTCTCTGTCCCTCTCCTTTCCTCTCTGGAAAATCAATAAAATATATATTTTTAAAAATCAATAATTCTCTGAGAGAGAATTAATGATTGGCTGGCTGCCTCCTTCACGCCCCACACAGGGAATTGAGCCCACAACATAGGCATATGCCCTGACCGGGAACCAAACCCTGATCTCCTGGTTCATAGGTCGACGTTCCACCACTGAGCTACCCTCGCCGGTCAAGTCAGTATTTTTTAAAAAGAGATATATTTGTAAAGTTTTTTCATGTGGTGAGAATAGACAATTTAGAGCTAATCAATAGTCCATAGTTTCGCTAGGAAAGGGAGACAGATGGCACTAATGCACTTCATTGAGGTAAGTTTGGCAGGCATTGCTAGTTTTAGAATAGTTATGAGCTAAACAGAAATTATGATGTGCAGTTTCCTAATGATCTTATCAGTAAAACCTCCATTTCTTTGCTTTATTCAATATTTTAGTTGTTGCCTTTATGTGTTTTTTTATACTGATGGTGCCAGATGTCTGTGACAGATGTGCTTTTATCTACTTCTCATACTATCTTATTTTGCCTTTACATGGGCAATTTGGAAGAATATATATTTAGGCTGACCTATAAGAATGAAAAAGTATTTTATGGTATTCTTTAATGGATTATTTCAGAAAATGTTATTTGTGGTATGCCTCTTTTTATTCTTTACAACTCTCACTTTTTAAAAATCAGAGTTCTATACATGATCAAACTTTGATTCCTTAAAAAGTATTGTAGTAGGTGTTTGAAAAACTTGTTATAGCATTAATATTAAAGAGAGTTTAGCATTTTTAAAAAAGATAATGAATGACCTTTGAAGGAAAAGTAATAGCTAAGAAAGGGATGCTACACAGATAAAATTGAACTGGTAGATAAATCAATACTTGTTTAATTACTTCTGAGTCAACATCCCCACCACTCTACCAAATTAAGGTAATCACTACTGCAGAAGGTAGCCCTCACTAGACCGTTTTGTAGTTTTCTTTCCTTTAACCCCAGGACTTTTTTTTTTTTTTTTTAATGACTTCCCCTATATTGGATATTATTATCATTAAAAATATATATCATGTACAGATATTAGCAGCTATCATTATTGCACACTGTACTATACTGAACAACTACTTTCACTTCTGAGGATCCAGACATGAGACAAGGTATCTGTTGGTGAATCAGGTTTATGTTTGCAGAGTTGTGAGCAAATACTTGAAAAATGTTGCCTACTTAGTAGCTGATTCAGATCGCAGTCCTGGACGTAGTATTTGATATAAATTTATTAGTAACAATAGGATTTTAAAAACTTCAAGGCAAAAGATTTCTTGGAAAAAGAAATATTGAAAAATTTAAGGCAAAAGAATCTTGGAAAGTTAGTTTAAGAGAAATACAGAAAACTATATTTGTTGTTAAATATGCCTTTGTGGATGAAATTTTATAGTCCTTTTTATGACATCTGGCTTATTCTAGTTCCTGAAATCTTGATTATTTTTACATTTAATTGTATGTACTTAAAATCAAACTTTATCAATAGTCTGATTAAAAATATGTACAATATTAGATATCACTTAAATTTTTTGTTAATGTTGAAAGGTTTTTGTTTTAACATTTATTAGAAATTTTAATCAGTTTGGTTAAATAATCTTAAAAACTCACAACCTTTGTAAACTTACTAGTAAGTAATAAGCTTTATACATAAAATAGGGAGAAGAACTGCTTTGTGGCTTTAAAAAAAAAATCCGTAGTCTTTTACATTGGTTAAATAAATAATGCTGACAAATTAAAGCACCTGTGTCAATCTCTAGAAGTGGACTTTGAAAATTCAGTATTAAAATTATTGAAATTAATAAGATATATTTTGTTATAGGAAAGGTTCCTTCTCTGAGTGCTTTTGAATCCTTGTTTAAGTATAATCTTTACCATTGAATAATAAGAAAGTTAATAACTTAAACACTTTCCTCTGACTCTAGCTGGGTTGGCTCACTGGATAGTGCATCAGCCTGCGGACTGAAGGGTCACAGGTTCGATTCCAATCAAGGGCACATGCCCGGGTTGTGGACTCAATCCCCAGTAGGGGTTGTGCAGGAAGCAGCCAATTAATGATTCTCTCTCATCATTGATGTTTCTCTCCTTCTCCCTTCCTCTCTGAAATCAATAAAAATATAAAAAAGTAATAATAATAAATAACTTTCCTCTTTAATTATAGAATAATATTAAATAACTAAAATTAATGTCCCAAATGGGTTAGGATGGTATATGTGTGTATGCTATTTTTCTGTTTACTTGATAGCCTATATAATAAAAGCCTAATATGCTAACTGTCCAATCGGCCAGTCAACCAATCAAAGTGTAATACACTAATGATATGCTAAGGTCACTCAATTGCTTGCTATGATATGCACTGTCTGGTAGGTGAGCTTGCTGCTGGGGTCCAGCTGATTGGGACTGAGCAAGACAAGGATTCCCAACCTCCCGCATCTCTCCCTGTCCTCGATCATGCACCAGTGGGGTCCATTGGCCTGGCCTGCACCCTCTCGCAATCTGGGACCCCTCGTGATGTCGGGAGTCAGTTTCAGCCTGATTCCACAGGCCAGGCCAGCGGACCCCACTTGTACACGAATTCATGCACCAGGCCTCTAGTTTGCTTATTAAAAAAATCATTAGAATCTTGAGTAGATCAGAAGATTAAAGACAGATGTAATTGCATGCATACCTTTTAGTGGGTATTCAGATATTTTCATAATTTAATTTTTGATATTAATATAATAAAGAGCCTGGGATGTAATCCTTTGGGAGTATACTTCCTGTTATAATGTGTGCCATTTTGGAGACTTAGTGTGCTTGTGAAAAATAATATTTATTTTAATTTGTTACAATTACAAGTTAACAGAAACAATCGTAAATCACCAAAATAGACTATAGAAAATCAAAACATTTATTTTAATTCTCAAAATTAAAAATATGTCCTGACTTGCATGTTACCTTTTTGGAAACCTTATTCATTTAGGTTTATCTATTCATCATAGATACTGATTCACAACTTGGTTTTAGTGATACATTTACAAAATACTTAGCCACGCATTTCCAAAACTTTATTTTTAAACTTTTCTTTTCAAGCTAATAGTCGTTCTCCTTGTTTTTAAATTCAAAATCTTGGAATTTATTTTGTTAAAATTAAATTAGGAACACCTTATTAAAAATATTTTTAGCAACCTTTTAAGATAGTATGGTTTGTTGTTGTAGGTTTACCAAGTGGAAGATATGTGTGAAGAAGAAATGCCAGAAGAGTCAGATGAATGTATTCGCATGGACAGAACCCCACCACCACCCACATTGTCTCCAGCAGCTATAACTGTGGGGAGAGAAGATTTAACTTCTGACCACCCTTTGTTAGGTAAGGAAATGTCTCAATTGGGGGGATTTTTTATTAGACTAATGTTAGTAATGGGAAAGTTGTTTTTTTCCACTACAGATGGTATTAATCTAATTTGTGTAATTAATTACAGTAAAACAAGAATTAGGTGTTGTTTTTTTTTTAAAAAGAAACAAAATAACTGATAAGGAATCATTCAAATGAAAAACACATGTAGCTTTCTAATTTTTATTGGTTTGTACAGATGTGTTTCATATGCTTATTCAAATTCATATGTCAAGCTATTTCTACCTTAAAAATTGGAATAAATCAAAGTTCTATCAAAAGATTTAATTTATATTTTCCCTAAATCACAAAGCATTCTAAGTTGTATCTGCGCATTGCTCATAATTGCTTGTGATTTAGACTGAATAAATCTTTTAAGTGTTCTTTCTCATACAGTACTTAAATTAAGCCTCACTAATTCTTAGTAGAGATGGATTAAAAAATTATTGAGCTTAAGTATTCAAATTCTTATTCATTATGCCACTACTACTTTTAAGTTAAAGTAAATCTTATGTATGTTCCTCTTCATAATATCAAAGTGACTGTGAATTCTAGATGTTTTACTAAAACATTAGTATGATCTGTTGCCCAGTGTCTATAGCTTAAAAAAGATACATTCTATGTTAGGGTTTTTTTTTTTTTGTTTTTTTTTAATTTATGAATATTTTACTTAGATCAGGGATTGGCAAACTAATACTTCAAATCTTTCCTGCTGTCTGTTTTTATATGGCCCATGAAGTAAGGGCAGGTTTAAATTTTTAAAATGGTTGAAAAAAATCAAAAGTCCAGTCTCTTCACCATCCTATATAATAAAACTGTAATATGCAAATAGACCAAACGACAGAACGACCAGTTGCTATGATGCACACTGACCACCAGGGGGCAGATGCTCAACGCAGGAGCTGTCCCCCTCATGGTCAGTGTACTCCCATAAGGGAGTGCCGCTCAGCCAGAAGCCAGACTCAAGGCTGGCAAATGCAGTGACGGTGGCGGGAGCCTCTTCTGCCTCCACTGCAGGCAGGTGGTAAAGAGCAAAGGGTCCTGGACTGAAAGAGCCCCAAACTATGAGAGGGATGTCTGACTGCCAGCGGGCATTCCTAAGCCAGCAGTCGGACATCCCCCAAGGGCTCCTGGACTGTGAGAGGGTGCAGGCCGGGCACCCACAGTGCATGAATTTTGTGCATCGTGCCTCTAGTAAAATAACTTTTTTAAAGCCATTTTCAAGGATATGACATTTCATAGGATATGACATTTCTTTATTTTTATCTTCACCTGAGGATATTTTTCCATTGATTTTTAGAGAGCGTGGAAGAGAGAGTGGAAGAGAGAAACATCAATGAGAGAGGGATACTTGGAGTAGTTGCCTCCTGCATGAGCCCTGATGTTGGCCCTGGCCAGGGAGGAGCCTGCAACGTAGGTACATGCCTTTGACCAGAATCGAACTCGGACCCTGAAGTTAGCAGGCCAAGGCTCTATCCACTGAGCCAAATCGGCTAGAGCAGGATATGACATTTCTTATCCTTGCTAGCATCAGACCTTCATTTTTATCTCCAGGAGTGTGGTGGAAATACACTAGATCACCTTTTTGGATTCTTATATCCAAGTTACTAAGAATATTACCAGTAGCATACAGGGAGCTTAGCCAATGTGCAGTCAGAAAAGGTGTTTCCTCTGCAGCTCATGTGCGGAGGCAGGACTGCTGGTACGCCCCGGCTGGCAGGCCCTGTTCTCTGCAGGCCTGCTTGCCACTATAGCAGCTGGCAGGCAGGCCCTGTGCTCTGCTTTCTGCAGGCCTGTCTGCTTGCCGCTGCTATGGCTGGCTGGCAGGCAGGCCCTGCTCCCTGCTCTCTGTGGGCCTTCTTCACCCTGCTCTTTGTGGGCCTGCTCGCCATGGCGGCAGCTGGCAGGCCCTGCTCCATTCTGCTCTGTGTGGGCCTGCGCCCTCCGTGGCTTGCCTCACTGCACAGCAGTCACCTACCACCCACCTGCGTACGCAGCCTTCTTCTGAGGAGTCATGACTGTTATGGCGTCCTGGCTAATTTGCATATTACCTCTTTATATAGATAGATAGATAGATAGATAGCTACTATTGTGTTACTGCAGCAAAGACGAGTAGTTACAAAACCCATATTGTCCTTTATAGAAAGTTCATTGACTTCTGACCCAAATAATACAAATGTTGGTTCAGGGTTCGTTGGAGGTATTCTGCCTATTGATTATCTCTCGGTCCTCGTGATCACTTCAGATAAGAAGAACCACTGTGCCGGGACCGGTTTGGCTCAGTGGATAGAGCGTCGGCCTGTGGACTGAAAGGTCCCGGGTTCGATTCCGGTCAAGGGCATGTACCTTGGTTGCGGGCACATCCCCAGTAGGGGATGTGCAAGAGGCAGCTGGTCGATGTTTCTCTCTCATCGACGTTTCTAACTCTCTATCCCTCTCTCTTCCTCTCTGTGAAAAATCAATAAAATATTAAAAAAAAACAAACAAAAAAACCCACAAATTTCAAAAAAAAAAAAAAAAAAAGAAGAACCACTGTATCAGGCATGGAAATGAATTGTAATGAAGCACTTATTTTGCTCCCACAATAACCTTTGCCCTCTCTTTTCTTCAACATGCCACATTTCTAATCCTTCTGTTCTTTCCAGCTTTTATTCCTTTATTACAGAAGTGAATCTCTGGAAAGCTTAAAAAGGGGAAAAATCAGTTTTGTTCCAATTTTTCTCTCTTCTTAAAAATAGAAAACATTGCTGAAACCGGTGTGGCTCAGTGGTAGAGCATCGGTCTGCGGACTGAAAGGTCCCAGGTTCGATTCTGGTCAAGGGCATGTACATTGTTTGCGGGCACATCCCCGGTAGGGGGTGTGTAGGAGGCAGCTGGTCGATGTTTCTCTCTCATCAACGTTTCTAGCTCTCTATCCCTCTCTCCTCCTCTCTGTAAAAAAATCAATAAAATATATTATAAAAAAAAATAGAAAACATTTAGTCACTAAAATTATATAAAATATTTAATAAAATAGTTTAATATTAATGCCTTTGTATATTCAAAACAATACTTCAAAAGATAGATTTAAGAAAATATAACTATATAAAGTTTTTGTATTTTCTGTACACTGAAAATGGATTTATGTTATCGCAGATTTTCTGGAATTTTGGTTGAAAGGCAGAAAGAAATTTATAGTAATTGGATAATTACCTTGCATTGAGACTGTAATTGGATTACCTGAAAAGTATCACTAATGGTACTCAAAGGAAATTATAAAAATTTTAAAATATTGGAACACAAGTATATCTTCACATATTAGGCAAGGGATGTAGTCTGAGATCCTGTCAAGCCTGTCCTGCTGGCTGTATTGTCTAAATACAATGTAGACTTTTGAATCTTCCTATAATTTACTACACATTTATTCTTTTGTATATGAGGGGGGAAAGTAAGCAAGGCTAATATTTAGAATAACTCTCATCAAATCATGGAATAAACTATCCTGAAAAATAGAGGGACTTGTTTCCATCTAGAATCAGTTTTCATAAGTGTCTGCTCTTTTTAATTTTTCTCAGTTATCTGTATTCACTGATATTCCTTGCTATCAGCTGGTTCTGTTTTTCCACTTTCACACAGGCAATAAGTTTTCAATGCTATTGAGTGGATGGATAGGTAGTCTCCATCACAGGCTGGTGGGACTATCTTTATATATATATATATATATATATATATATATATATATATATATATATATATATATATATTTCAGAGAGGAAGGAAGAGGGAGAGAGAGATAGAAACATCCATGATGAGAGAGAATCATGAATTGGCTGCCTCCTGTAAGTCCCCCACTGGGGATCAAGCCCACAACCTGGGCATGTGCCCTTGACCGGAATTGATCCTGGGACCTTTCAGTTCATAGGCCAATGCTCTATCCACTGAGCCAAACCGGCTGGGATGGGACTGTCTTATTATGATCTTCAAGAATTTGAAAGGGGGAGAATCCAAGATGGCTGCACAGGTAAACACCTAACCACAGCCGCACACAACAATTTCAATAAAATACAACTAAAATATAAAATGGACTTTGCCCAGAGCTACAGGAAGTTGACTGACTGAAAATTCTACAACAAGAAGGAAAGAGAAAACAAGAAGGAAAATCAGAGGAGCTGTAAAAGCCTAAGGTACGGGGACATGCTGCGTGTGCGCGTACGGAGAGGACGGAGCCGGAGAGGATGCGGAGGCTGAGTACCTGGCTGGCATTCCCTCTCAGGAAGGAAATAAAAGCCCTGGACTGGGCTGAACCCCAGAACCAACAGCATTGAACCCCAGTTCTAGGCCAGACCCTGGGGACCTAGGCTAAAACAGAGGGAGACGGGGATGTGAGGCGGAATCCCAGGGGAGCAGCGAAAAGCAGAGCTCCCAGAGTTGCACACATTGCGCGCAGAGGACTGAATGTTGACTCTGATGCTAGATTGCCCTAGCGGGAAGGAAACAAAAGCCCCGGCTGAGCTGAGCTCCAGTTCCGACTGCTCTGAACCCCAGTTCTAGGCCAGACCCTGGGGACCCAGGCTTAAAGAGAGGGAGCCTGGGCTGTGAGACGGAATCCCAGGGGAGCGGCGAAAGGCAGAGCCCCCAGAGTCGCGCACATTGCGCACAGAAGACAGTCTGTTGACTCCGATGCTAGACTGCCCCGGTGGGAAGGAGACAAAACCTCCAGACTGGGAAGAATGCAATGAGGAGCTGGAGCCACTGCCGGGCACAGGCAAGCCGGGCGACAGCAAGGAGCCGGGCGACAGGGCTCCCTGGGAGGTGCCGCTGGGCCCTCAACCGCTGATCGCGGACCATGGAGCCGAGTCGGGGGCAGCTTCCTGGGCGGCGCTGACCCCGGCAACAGGCTGAAGCCGCGCAGGAGGCCGGGGAGATCAATGGGGCGCCGCAGGCCAGCCTGCTGAGCTTCCAGGACGAGGAGGAAGAAACCGAAGAAGTTCCCAATGTGAAGAAATCAAGTTATAGCAAAAGATAGTAAAATTACTTAAGAAAGAATACAAAGAAGATCTTGAAAAAACGAAGATTAAGACAGAACTCAACTTAGCAGCCAACATTGCAACATAAATGCGTTTAAAAAAAAAATGTTGATGTGGCGGCGGCCAGGCCCAGAGTGGCCAGGCCCTGGAGCAGCAGCAGCCAGAACCAGAGCAGCAGCAGCCAGAACCAGAGCAGCCAGGCCTAGGGCAGTGGCAGCCAGGCCTGGGGCAAAGGCACCCAAGCCCGGGGCGGCCAGGCCTGGAGCAGCCAGACCTGGAGCAGCTGGGCTCAGAGCAGCTGGGTCGGGAGCAGCCAGGCCTGGAGCAGCAGCAGTCAGGCCCGCAATGGCCGGGCCCGCAGCGGCCGGGCCCGGAGCATCCAGGCCGGAAGCAGCCAGGCCCGGAGTGGCCGGGCCCAGAGCAGCCGGGCCTGGAGCATCCAGGCCGGGAGCGGCCAGGACCGGAGTGGCCGGGCCCAGAGCAGCCGGGCCCAGAGCAGCCGGGCCCAGAGCAGCCAGGCCCGGAGTGGCCAGGCCTGGAGCATCCGGGCCCAGAGCAGCGGGGCCCAGAGCGGCCAGGCCGAGAGCGGCCAGGCCCGGAGTGGCCGGGCCCAGAGCAGCCGGGCCCAGAGCAGCCAGGCCCGGAGTGGCCGGGTCCGGAGCGGCCGGGCTCAGAGCAGCCGGGCCGAGAGCGGCCAGGCCTGGAGCAGCAGTAGCCAGGCCTGGAGCAGCCAGGCCCGGAGCAGCAGCATCCAGGCCTAGAGTGGCAGCGGCCAGACCCGGAGCAGCTGGTTTTGGAGTGGATCAGAGCAATAGAGGCCAGGCCCGGCGGGCCCGGAACAGCTCGCTCCTCGCCTGCCCATGCCCCAGGGCTGCCTCTCAGACATGGCTGGAAACTTTAGGGGGAACTTGAGGGTCTGCTGAATCAAGTGATGAAGGCTTAGATCTGGATGTGTTGAGATATTATAGCGCTGTGGTGTTGATCTGTGAGTGCCTTGTGTGGGGTCTGGATGAGGTTGGTTGATCCATTTGGAAGTGTCTTTTGTGTGAAGTGTATCCTTGGGCATGTGGAGGTATTATTGATTTGAGAAAATGCTAAGTAATTGACTTACTACCTGAAAAATTTAAAGTTCTGAAAGTTTAAGGTCTCTTGCCAAAAAGAGGATTTAAAGCTAACACCTTAATTTTAATGGAGAAAGGGGAGGACAAGCCCTTCCCACCCAGAACAGGTAATCCAATTCCAGCCAGCAGCTATCTTTAAAAATGTTCATTTACATTTGAATGGCTATGCCTTTTGATAGCCTAAGGGCAAGTTTACATGTAAACAAGTTTGCTTCTCAGTTCCCAGGGCAGAAAAAACAAGGTTTAAAATTATTAGATTTTAAAATTTATTCTTAAAAATATAAAAGTTTATTAATTAAAAAAACAACAACAACAAAAAGGAAACTAAAAAAAACTGATGAACAATATTAACTGTTGATTATACTAGAATCAGAGATACTGGAGGGGAGTGAACTGACAATTCTCGGGGAAAACGGGAGTGGTGTATGCGGAAAGAGACTGAACATAAACTGTGCACCTATAGATGAGGACCATGGGGGTTGGGGAAAGGGCCCAATCCTTGTGGGATTGTGGGATCGGGCCTAAGCCTGCAGTCAGACATCCCTTTCACAATCTGGGACCACTGGCTCCTAACCATTAAACTGCTTGCCTGCCTGATCACCCCTAACTGCCTCTGCCTGCCTGCCTGATTGCCCCTAACCTCTCTGCCTGCCTGCCTAATTGCCCTCCCATGCTGGCCTGATCTTGCCCCCAACCGTCTTCCCTGCTGGTCTGATCTCGTGCCTAACTGCCCTCTCCTTGCTTGCCTGGTTGTCCCCAACTGCCCTTCCCTACCAGCCTGATCTCGCCCCAACTGCTCTCCTCTGCCGGCCAATTTGGTTCTGATTGGTCAGTTTCTATGCCAGTCAGTGTAAAAAACTTGGCCTCTTAGGCAGTCATTGGTTCCTCACACTTCACCCAGATTTGGTTCTGTTTGGTCAGTTTCTATTGCCAATCAGCATTTCTGGGCCTATCAACAGGTCCTGATTAGCAGCGGGCTGATTAGCAGCCTGGGTGGAGGCCTGGAGATACATGGAGGCGTGGCTGCTGGGAGAGAAAAAGAGAGGCAAGTCCTGATCAAGAGCTGTCACAGAGACAACGGATCAGTCCCTGCTTCTCTTTTTAGGCCTCTTTCTGGCCCTGTGTCGCAGCCCCTTCAGCAGTCAGTTTTGGGACACCACACCTGCAGTGGCAGCAGTCAGTGCTAGACTGCCATGGCAACCCGGCACTGATTGCAGGACTGACTTCCAGTTGGGCGAGGGTTGGTCGTTACGACACAGGGTTTTTATATATTAGGATACTTTCAAAGTGCTTTTATTTCATCATATAATTTGGAATATATAAATAGTAACAAAGAAAATTCAGTATCTATGCAGCTTAAATTTTTTTTGAAAAAGATAGCTTAATATCTATTAGCTTAAAATTTTTTTGAAAAGCAGCAATTTCAGTTATTATTTTTAATTTGACATTCTAAAACATACTCATGTCTCATGGGACAGTTTTTTTAACCACGGTTGGAATGATAACTGAGCAAGTTACCCCCTTCTGTAAAATGGGGCTCATAGTAGTTTCTATTTCCTAAGGTTATTGTGTATATTAAATGAGGTGATAAACAAAGATTTTAGCCCAGCCAGTGTAGATCAGTGGTTAAGCATCGACCCATGAACAGGAGGTCACAGTTTGATTCTATTCTTGGTTCAGGGTACAAGCCCAGGTTGCAGTCTCAGTACCCAGTAGGGGGTGTGCAGGAAGCAGCTGGTAAATGATTCTCTCTTGTTATTGATGTTTCTCTCCTCCCTTTCTCTCTAAAATATTGAAAAATAATAAATTGTTAGAATGGCTTTTTAGCACCAGGTATTAGCTGCTATTGTTATTCGTGATTATTTTAAAATTATCTTTCATATTTGCTGGGCAGAATGCTAAACATTAAAACAATTATTTTTTTTTTTTCAGAGGAAGTGGAATTACCTGCTGTGGCATCAGTCAGCGCTTCAGTAATTAAATCTCCTTCAGACCCATCACATGTTTCTGTTCCTCCTCCTCCACTCCTACTTCCAGCTGCTACCACAAGGAATAATATTACATCTCTGCCCCATAGCATCCCCAATATAGAAAACAAACCTCCACAGGCCATTGTTAAACCACAGATCTTGACCCATGTTATTGAAGGCTTTGTAATTCAAGAGGGATTGGAGCCATTTCCTGTAAGTAACAAGCAAGTTTGTATTTTTAAAATAATTCATGTAATATTTTAAAATTTAGTCTACTTTTCTCTAATAAAAACTTGTCATTTTATTTCAAAAAGTTAGCACTCTTATATCTAGAATTTATCATTCTATATATATCATATTTATACTCTAAATATAATTCTAGAATTTTATGCTAGCTATGTAGATATATAAACTAAGGATATAAATATATCAATTTTATAATTTTTAGAGAAAGATAGTTGGAAGTTTATTCCATTTTTTTCACTATTCAAGTAGTTTGAAGGGAATATTTTTGTATATAAATTATTCACATTTTAAATAACTTCTTTAGCATAAATTTCTTATAAGTACTGGCATGTATTTATATTTACATGTATATTTGTAAGATTCTATATATATTACTGAATTATTTTCTGAAAATATTATTTAAACTTATTAACACACCATAAGTATATAACCTTAACAGCACTGAATATTAGTTTTTTACAACAATAATTTTTATAAATTTTACTTGAGGCATATTAAATATATTAACTGAAATGAACACAGTTTAAAAATATGTGGATGATTATTTTCTAAAGTTAAATATATAAACTTTTCATAAGCTATTTTTGACCAAGTGTGGCAGACTCACATTCTTAGATAAAAGAAAAGATTCTGGTTTTTAAGATTAGCTCAGGGTTCATTACCAAATCAGTAATTATTTTTTATCTGGACTGTTTTTGCTGAAAGCAGTTCTAAAATAATCATTATTCATTACCTAAGTGTACTGATCATACTTTAATTTTTTGTTAATTTTAATGTTAATATTTGCAGCCTTTTCCCATTTCTTTTCATGATTATAGTAGATTTGGTTGCTGAATTAAGAATCAGGAGACTTGAGTTCTAGTAGTTCTTTCTTTTGTAAAAAACTCACCTAAACACTGAACAGTAGTTTTCTTATCTCTATTTATTTTAATTGTAATTGGTATACAATATTATATTAGCAATATTATATTAGTTTCAGGTATATAACATAGTGACTTGACATTTATATACCTTACAGTGTGTTCATCACACTAAGTCTCATTGTGGGTTTTTTTTTTTTTTTTTTAATATATTTTATTGATTTTTGTACAGAGGGGAAGGGAGAGGGATAGAGAGTTAGAAACATCAATGAGAGAGAGTCATTGATCAGCTGCCTCTTGCACACCTCCTACTGGGGATATGCCCACAACCAAGGTACATGCCCTTGACCGGAATCGAACCCGGGACCCCTCAGTCCCCAAGCCGACGCTCTATCCATTGAGCCAAACCGGTCCCGGCTCATTGTGGTTTTAATTTGCATTTCCTTGATGATTGATGATATTGATCATATTTTCATATGTCTCATAGCCATCTGTATGTCATCTTTAGAGAAATGTCTTCATGGGCTCTGCCCATTTTTTGCCATAACTGTATCTGTATAATACACATAAAAATGATCTATCCTGAGGAGATAACCCTTCATATACTAGTAAAAAGCTTTATACATGAAAAATCTTAAAAGTTGTTACAGAAAAAAATTAAAGAAACTGGCAAATAAAAACATATTACTGATATTTTAAAGAAAAGACTTTTTCTTAACTACTTGCCTAAACTATGATAGGATGCTAAGTTTCATTTGGCAGAGACTTTGAAGCATCCATATTGCTGACGACCTGAACTATAGTGTTCATGTCCAGATAGCCTTTACTTTCTCAAGGAAAAAGCACCTGATGACTGTGTCAGATCAATTGGACAAGCAAATGATCACTGATACCATTTTTTCAAGAGTTTTTAAAAAAAATTGATTTCAGAGAGGGAGAGAGAGAGAGAGAGAAACATCAATGATGAGAAAGAATCATTTGTCGGCTGCCTCCTGCACACCCCCATTGGCGATGGAGCACGCAACCCGGGCATATGCCCTGAGTGGAAATTGAACCCGACCTCCTGGTTCATTGGTCTACGCTCAACTACTGAACCATACCAGCTGGGCTTCAAAAGTTTTAACCAACTTATTTCTAAAAGTCTTTAAAAAGCTCGTTTTATCTTCTCTCTGTTTTAAAGGTGAGTCGTTCATCTTTGCTAATAGAACAACCTGTGAAAAAAAGGCCTCTCTTGGATAATCAGGTGATAAATTCTGTGTGTGTTCAGCCAGAGCTACAGAATAATACAAAGCATGCAGATAATTCATCTGACACAGAGTTGGAAGACATGATTGCTGAAGGTCTGTGGATTTTACTTAAGATACCCGTAATTAACTTTGATTTTCACTGCTTGAGACAGAACATGGATTTTTATTTCACACAGATTTTTACTTGGAAGTATTTACTTTTTTTTTTCAAGTAATGCATTATTTGATTAAAATAATGGGAAAGGTAACGAGATTCTTAATGGCCAATTAATAAAAGTAAGACTGGTTAATTTACATACTATCAGTTAATTTGACTTTTGAAAGAATGGGAAAGGGTGGGAAAATTTTCATTATATATGAAAGTAATTCAAAATTTTAGCATCAAAACAACTTTCTGTATTTTTTTTTTCAAGCTGACTTAAATAAATGACTGTTATTGAGTTTCCTTAAATAGAGCTTCTGAGTTGTTTGGATTTAGACTTTCCTTATTCTATGTTTGATGTCTAATTAATTATCCTCAATATAATAGCATATTCATCGGAAATTAATTCGTTCATTTTTGAAATTTTTTTATAACCTTTACCTGAGGATATGCTATATATCTCCATGGCACAATGTACTAAAATTCATATCCTACAAGGCGCTTTTTGAAAGTGTTCCTCCTGCAGGGTAGTGGCTTTGTCTTATTCATCTTTATTTCTCTCAGAGTGCTTAATAAAGTTATTTGCACGTTTTAGACATATTGCATTCTTAGCAAAATGAAACTTTAAAATGTATTGCCTATGTATAGAGTAAACTCCATAAAATTTTTATGCAATGCAGGACAAGGAGGGAATTTATGGAGGTGATTGGTTTTGGAGGCTTTGCCCTGCCAAAGTGGCTATGGATTGAAAAATTCAAAGATTAAAAAAGAAAGAAAAGAAAAATTCGAAGATCATTCCTTTAAGTTTCCTGGAAGGTCTGAACTAGCAGCATCCCACCAAAATAGAGGCTAAATGAAAATTTGCCACAATTAAATTTTTGTGAGTTTTTTTTTTTTTTTTCTGTTCCCTTCTTTTTTAGAGACATTAGAAGAAATGGACAGTGAGTTGCTGAAGTGTGAATTCTGTGGGAAGATGGGATATGCTAATGAATTTCTGCGATCAAAACGATTCTGCACTATGTCATGTGCCAAAAGGTATTTCTTTTTTAATTTCCTAAAGCACAGACCAACCACTGTAATAAAACCAAAAAACGTGTAGAATTTACCAGTAGTCAAAACTAGATATTACAATATAGAGGAATACTGTCAAGTAGATATGTGGAGCTACTTTGGGTAGTTAGTTACTAAATTTTGCTCTTTGAAAGTTATATAGTCATAACACTTACAGTTAGTTTTCCAGCATAATCTGATAGTGAAGTAGCAATCTCCTGGTAGTAAGAATATATGCTTAGGAGAATCTCTACTAGTCTTCAAAGTATTCAAAAGTTTTTTTTTATCATCTGATTATTGTTTGTTAATATTAAAATACCTGGATTTACTTTGTTTTGTTTTAAAATGTTTTATTTTAATGTATCCTATTAATTTTAGGTTTCTAAATAGGACAGCTGTCCATGTTCCCTATACTGTTATATTGTCAGTAAAATATCTCTTTTCTAAATATATATTTGCAATAGTAATATTACAGGTAAATAGTATTGATAACAAAATATCTTCATTGATCTTAGTTTCAAGTTTAGTTTACATTAAAAAAAAAAAAAAGCCACCTCTGATTCTGATAGTGCTAAAAATTCATTAACAGGAACCTGATTTAAAGTGGAGAGGCCAGAAGGGGGAGCTCTCATGACCAATGATGATCACAAGACACAATAGGGAAACTTTCTAATTTTCTTCCTAACTTACTTAACCCCTATATATTAGCATTTCCTCTCTTTCATTGAGGAAATAGAGTAGAAAAAAAGAAGAGCAGAAGGGAAGTGTCTGACTCTTCATATTTTACCATGGTTGCATATACTGGGTTGCAATTCCTTGCTCTTGAATAAATCCACTCGGCTGGAGAGATATCTGGCTGACTTTTTGTTTACAATCAACGTAATATATCCTAATGTTGGTATTTACCATGAAAGGTGAAATGTATTACAGGTTAATTTGAAATTTGTTCTCTATTTGAAAAAGAATTTAGGATCTTCATTTTATACATCTAGGGAATTTCTTGCTTGAATGTATTATTTAGTGTGGTGCCACTAAAATATACATAGTAAAACTTAAGGTAAGTTTTATACTATTGAATAAGCAATTGAAGTATTTTCCTTCCAAAATGGCTTCATTGATTTTCTTAGTTGTCAATCCATTACTCAGATATTCTTTTATGTTATTGATAATCCTAATAAAATTATGTAACTCTTATTTAACTTGGGAGTTTCCCAATTTGTACACACCACAGGAAAGAACAGTGGCTCTATGATTTTAAATGATTGAAAACTCCGAGGGGAAGGACTACTGTTTTTCAGAATATTTTAAATTTCTTGACTTTTTAGAAACATTTCAGGTGTTTAAATGCGACGCTATTCTTCTCCAAGAGATGATTGCTGAGTTGTCACATATTATACCTTTAGGTGAACCTCATAGAAGATTAGGGGTCCTAACATAGGGAAATGCAGCTGAGAGAGCAAAGGGGAGAGGATAAATTAGGTCAGGGAGGAATTGCTGCTGTTTACGACTGGCCTGGAGATCTAAATATAGGGACTAAATAGCAAGTGTAAAGGTAGTCTCTCTTTTCTGATCTTTAGTCAGTGGGGGAAGAAATTTTGTCAATTGATAAGAATGGAAATCAGAAACCGACAGAGCTGAGCCCACGGAAGAGCATAATGAACATAGCAGAAGCTTGTTAAATTGTTTCGGGTAAAATGAGGGGCCATCAGGACATCTTTTTGTTTCTTATATTCTTAGGGGAGGGGAAAAGCTTGTTCATTCTCATAGTGCCCCTTACTTTCACTTCTTGATATTTTTATTAAATGTACGTGAGAAAAATATATTTCATACATTGATCCTAGAAAGTTACCAATAGCAAAGTTAATTGGGATTTATTCTTGTCATTTTCCTGCAAAAATCTTAGAGCAAAAGAGTTTTGAAAACATGAAATTACAATGGCAGATGTATATGTGTAAAAAAAATGAACTGCATGTATTTTTCTTAGCCTTTCTGATTTTTTCTGAAATTTCTTTCTTAGATTATTTCTTTTCATTCTTCTTTCTAGGAATAGGGTAGGCAAACTGTGCCCAGACAAAATCATTCCTGTAGCCTTTATTTGTATGATCTATGAGCTAAGGATGGTTTTTAAATTTAGGGATAGTTGAAAAAAAGTCAAAAGAATCATAATTTCATGACACATGAAAATTATGGGAAATTCAAATTTTAGTGTTTCTAAATAAAGGTTTATTGGAACAGTCATGCTCATTCATTATTGTGTATGGCTGCTCTCATGTCATAATTGCAGAGTTGACTAGTTGTAACAGAGACTTGAATGGCCCACAAAGCCTAAAGTATTTACTATCTGGCCCTTTATAGAAAAAGTCCCCAGTCCCTGTTCTAGGGCCTTGGAACCCAATAAATGGCATAGAACTCTTTTAAGCTACTATTATGCCATATTAAGGTCTATTAAAAAATAATAGATAGTCTATCAATTTGAAAGAATTCTGTATTTTTAAATTTCTTGAAGAGTGAGAGCTATGAATTTCTTATATAATTTTGAAATCGCACCTTTACATTTTAACTCTGATTCAGTAATATATTTGAAAATTTTTTTACTAGCCATTTGAGATTTTGTCTTTCTCTACTGTATTAAGCTATTTTTATTAATCTCCTTTCAGATATTATTATTTGGGAAAATACTAGGTTGGATGAACATTTAAATAGTTAATTTATAACTTCTTTTTCTCCTGGAACCTTGAATTACTTTGCTGCTGTAAAAATCGGTTGCCCTCTCTATTTTACAGAAAGTTTCCCATTATCATGCTGTTATTAGGAGAAAATATCAATTCCTATCTAGTATTAGATTGAGAGCTATGCATTTTACAGATATATACAGAAGCCAATTTTTGTCTTTTAGCATAAATAAATCCATTGAACACTATGGTTTACTTTCTGAGGTATTATAGTTCGTAATGAAGTATATGCCACTTATTGATTCACAAATTCACTTTAATAATTAATTACTAAGTAGTGTGTCCCATATATCGTTTAATATTTTTTCTTACTTGAATTTCTTAGGTACAATGTTAGCTGTTCTAAAAAATTTGCACTTAGTCGTTGGAATCGTAAGCCTGATAATCAAAGTCTTGGGCATCGTGGTCGTCGTCCAAGTGGCCCTGATGGGGCAGCAAGAGAACATATCCTTAGGCAGGTCTGTAGAAAACTTGCTTCAATGTACAATTCCCTTTTCAGTAATGCAAGGAAAGTGCAATGCTGTATTTTACTTGTACTACATTTTCCAGCTTCCAATTACTTATCCATCTGCAGAAGAAGACTTGGCTTCTCATGAAGATCCTGTACCATCTGCTATGACAACACGTCTGCGCAGGCAGAGCGAGCGGGAAAGAGAGCGTGAGCTCCGAGAAGTGAGGATTAGGAAAATGCCTGAGAACAGTGACTTGCTACCAGTTGCACAAACAGAGCCCTCTATATGGACGGTTGATGATGTCTGGGCCTTCATTCATTCTTTGCCTGGTATGTAATTCATCATTTTGGCCTTAATGTTTTTCTTGTGCTTTCACACACAGGAATGATGTTAGATCCATCTGCACCTGTTGCATGAAAGGGTTCAAGAAGTGTGTGTGTGTGTGTGTGTGTGTGTGTGTGTGTGTGTATATATATATATATATATATATATATATATATATATATATAGTAGTTAAATAGCATTTGCTATTGAAATATCTGTTTCCTCTTGCTTATTCCCTCAGCACAACTGGGTATTTTCTCATACTCTCAAGTCGATAAAAACTGACTAGTCCTGCTTCAGCTGTGACACCTCAGCCAGTGAAGGTATTAAAAGTGCTCTCTTCTCTTCAGTCTGATTTCTCTCAAGAGTTCAGTAGAGAGATTGAGTCAGACACTTCTTCCCTCTGCTCTTATCTTTTTCTATTTGGTTTCCTCCTTATTTCCTAATTTAACATTTAACCTTTTTTTAAAATAGGAGAGACTATAATTTTCTTTTTACATTTTTGAAAGCTAATCAGGACCTTTTAGACTATGATTAAATTTTGGTTTCTTTTAAAGGAAGCTGCATTCTTTGATTCTTGCAAAGAGTAGATATCAAGCACAGTTTCAAAATTTGATTTTTTAAGTAGACAGCTAACATTCAGTTATGATATTCTATCCCAATAGAATAAGTAACTCCCTTATGTTTTTCTGCTCTCATTTTTGGATTTTTTCCATGAGCTTATTCTTAATGTTCTTTAACTTTTTTCTTTAATGTGACAATAATCTTTATGTCCACTTTCTCCAAGGGGCTGGCTACTAAAGACATTTTGCACCTTTACTCATGATGAAACCTACACAATGGTTACGTATGTTAAGACGATATATATTTTTTAAGTCAACAAATCTTGTCATTCACTTTGGCTTTATGAATATGGAACACAAGGAAATTTTTAAATGTTTGTTCAATTTTGGTTTTATTCTGAATCATACCATTTATCTTGACATAAACATTCCAGAAAAATACATCTCTTTTGCAGTTGTCTGCAAGTTATTAAAATTTATCCAGCTAGTTTTGCTAATTAATCTTCTTATGAAGGCCACTGTCTCAGAAGTAAATTTACAGCTAATGTGCTGTACAGTGAAGAAAGTATATTTAGCAGTATTATTGCTTTAAAAAAAAATTGTCAGCCATTTTACCATATGTAAAGAACTATGAGATTTTTATTAAATTCTTTTTTCTTTTAAAATATATTTTTATTGATTTCAGAGAGAAAGGGAGAGGGAGAGTGATAGAAGCATCAATGATGAGAGAGAATCATTGAACAGCTGCCTCCTACATATTGGGAATCGAATCATGACCTCCTGGTTCAAAAGTTGACGCTTAACCACTGAGCCACACCTGCTGGGCTAAATTATTTTTTCAATACCTTGTTTTAGAAATGCTAAATAATTTTTGTGGTTTTCCTCCTCTCCCCCCCCCCCCCCCCTCCTCCTCCTCCTCCTCCTTCTTTTTCTTTTCTTTTTTTAAAACATATTTTATTGATTTTTCAGAGAGGAAGGGAGAGAGACAGAGAGTTAGAAACATCGATGAGAGAGAGTCATCCATCAGCTGCCTCTTGCACACCCCTCACTGGGGATATGCCCGCAACCAAGGCACATGCCCTTGACCGGAATCGAACCCGGAACCCCTTGGTCCCCAAGCCGACACTCTATCCATTGTGCCAAACCGGTCTTGGCTCCTTCTTCTTTTTCTTAAGAAAAACAAGATATAGTCACTTTTAAAGAAAGAAGAAATTGTTTTAAGAGGGATACATTTTCCATGGGAAGATTTTTAAGCACATACCTAAGAAAACTTAGGTGTAAGTTGTGCTGACCATGGAGGCTTAGAATATGCATTAAAACTGATGTATTAGAGGATGGTGAGTCTTATTGTTTGTGGTTTTAATACTTAATGAAATAAATTTTAGATTTTAGACTAGTTTATATATTTTGAGATTTAACCCTGAAGTCTATACTGATCTGGGCTCGACTTTGATTCTGTCATCTTCAGAAGTAGTCTCAGTTTTCCAAATGGGGCGTGTGGGCTGTTTTTAGCTGGGGTTCTCATTTGGTGGAAAGTATTTCTTTTCCTTTGGGGATGAAGGGTGGTTTATATTCTAAAGAAAGTAGGTTGGCAATCAAATAAATGATTGGTAGTAGTGAGTCCTCTGTCACTTCATATGCTTTTTTAGGACTAATTTTCTAATTTTTCCCATATCCATTTGCTATTTGGCTACTATTGGCTGCTTTATTGGAACAAAGGCTAACTCCTTTGTTTCATTCTTGCTTCATTTGAGTTAAAAAAATGATTATTGCTTATAACTTTAGATGCTTGTCTTACTGAGTTCATCAAGACACTTAATTTTATTGCCAGTGTTTAGAGAACATTTATGTCACTAAAAGGAGACTGCTTTATAATTAAGAATTGCTTGAGTCTGCTTAATATAACTCTATTGAGTTATATTAACTGATTAAATGGGAGTATTTCCAAACTTTTATAGGTTAAATAACAAGCTTATTTGTATGACCCTTATATCTTTTTCAGTTTTTCTCTCTGAAATGCCTGTAGTTTAAGGTAACTTTCATACCAGAATAAGCGTTTATCTTCATATCTCTTATGTTCCTCTGGTCTTTGTAAACTTCCTTTTGGGCCTCTTTGAGCTCATTCATTGCTGTTTGTTTGTTTGTTTGTTTGTTTTTCTGAGTAGTCTACTCCCAAGTTTTACCCTAGAATGAACAAGCTTCTAAGTTTTGTAACCCTTTGCGTTTTCCTTCTTGTTGAGGATAGGCTTCCCTCTTTTATCTTGGCGCCTACACTTAACCCCTAGAGTTTTCTCTTCTCTTTGTGTAATGTCATCTTGTTCACCATTCTGGTGGGATCATATAGAGCTGGTATGCAGTACACTCATAGCTGTTAGCAGAAAGAAAAATTATTTTCATATAAAGTTTTGTGCATTAAACTATTCTTTCTGTTTTCAGTTAATTGCAGTTATCTTCTTCAACTCTTCCTTGAAACAGTTAAATTGCAAAGATCAACTTACTCTGGATTTATTGATCTTTGAATCTGCAGTAAATTAGGTTTCTTTGTAATCATATACAGTATAGGAATTACATACAATATGACTATTTACTGTTTTTTTTTTTTTAGTTTTTTTAAAATATATTTTATTGATTTTGTACAGAGAGGAAGTGAGAGAGTTAGAGAGTTAGAAACATCGATGAGAGAGAGTCACCGATCAGTTGCCTCTTGCACACCCTCTCGTGGGGATATGCCCACAACTAAGGTACATGCCCTTGACCGGAATCGAACCCGGGTCCCTTCAGTCCCCAAGCCGACACTCTATCCATTGAGCTAAACCGGTTTTGGCTATTTACTGGTTTTTATAATACTAACATTGGGATTTGATTTTTCTGTAGTATTGAATGGCAGGTCATAGCTTTTCACCAACTTTATTGAGGCCACTTTTTGTGCAGAGTGAGTTTATTTTGGGTTTCTCTGGGAAAGTGACTAGATGCTTTGGGACTCATGTCCATGTGTTCACATCTGTGCACACCCTGATAGTTGCTTCTGGTGATGTAAAGCCACCTATGCTGACTGGTACAATAGTTGGGATATATTTTGTACATATCCCTATGGTACAGCTGCTTTATAAAAGGAGATTTTAATGTCAGAAACTCATAGAACTTTAGCACAGTATACTCAGCATCTAGAATTTTTTAAAAATTCATTTTTTCTCGATTTTCTAGAAGCATATTTGCTTCTATCTTTTTCTTTTCTAAGTCACTTTATTTTTTAACTTCTGTACTAATGTATAGTATAATCCCCCCAACTTTAGAAAGTTGTGATCTAAAATTCTGAAGATAATGTATTCATATTTGACCATGCTGTTTCCCAAACTTTTTGTTCATTATTATTTTGCTAATACATTTATTGTCCACCGGCAAGAAGACATTTGAAGAGGGATCTCATAATGCATAGGAACAAGAACATGCTAAATATTTTCCCCATGGAGAGCTCCTTGTTTCTATTCCCACATGTAGCTCTTGTCCTCATTACTTCTCATGGCTCCCGTTTTCTGAATCTAAGTCCTACCCTATCTTTCTCTCTCTTCTTTTCTTCCCTGTGCTCTTGTAAGTAAGACTGAAGAGAGAAGAACATTAGTTCTTTCATATAAAGAAGGACGAAGTCACAACTAGACACAAGATTAGTCAGTTTTGTCTGTCCAGTTTTGAGAGCTACCTCTGGGAAAAGAAAAGGGGCTTTTCTATGGTGAGTAATTCCTTTTAACTATATAATTTATTTTATATGGTAAATGGGAAAAATCATAAAAATTCTGCAGAGGGTACTTTTGAAATGTCAATTTTTAGAAGTCGGAGAAATTATTAAGATACTAGAGACATTGATAAGCTGGCTGCTATATAGGAAACAAAAAAGATACAACCAACAAAGAAGGCAAAAAAAAATATCCAAGAGAAAAGATGGCCACACAGCAAAATACAGAAAAAGTGGTTGTATTACTCTTACAGATGGCTCCTCTCTAGCAGATTCTATTTTTTGTTTATTATTTGTTTATTCACTCATTTAGTCCTTCACTTACCCAATATATATATTTAGCATTTACAGTGCTTTGTGTTTGGTGCTGGGGTTATAGAAGATGACATCATTATCTATATAAACAAGAGAATGATACGTTTGCAATAGGAGGATAATCATTTCTGCAAAGTTGTATCCAAAGATGTAACAATTTCCATTTTTTTTGTGTTTTCCCTGAGAATACTGATTTGAATAAAATAGACTTTAAGCTGTTAGTATTTATTCTTTTTTTGTTTATTTGGTTTTTCTATTGATTTTTAGAGAGAGTAGAAGGGGGGAGAAAGGGAAAGAGAGAGAAATATCAATGTGAGACACACCGATTGCCTCCAGCATGCACCCCCACTGGAACAGGGATCAAACCTGCAACACAGGTACATGCCTTTGACTGGGAATCAAACCTGAGATCCTTTGGTGTGCAGGCCAATGCTCTAACACTTAATATTAGTATTTATTCTCAAATTTATTTTTATAATTTTACTGTCTAAGGAAGCTTCTACATTTTGTATTCTTTTCTCTCTTGGTTCCTTAATTCATTATCTTCTTGCTAGTTTCCTTATCCTTAGTGAGTAGGAGAAGTTTATTGAGTAACCTGACTGCAAAATTTGGTAATAAGAACATTTGGGGTTCAAGTAGATGCTAGCATTGTGTTTGTTACCTGATAAAGCACCTGGTAGAGTCTGAGAGCTGAAATATTGTTTTTTGGCAAGAGGTTAGTTAGCAAGCCCCTAATTCCAACGAGAATTTATGTTTCAAAAGTGGAGATGAGTCCAATGATACTAAGATTTGAAGTTGAAATTACAAGTTGAGCAGTATAATACATTTTAGCAGTATTGTAATAGAGCAGTACTATAATCTGGATGGATTGGTTCTGACCTTAGTGAACAATAAAAATGTTTTAGATGTGCTGGCCAATTGAAGGTTGTAAATTAAAAGTTATAAGAGATAATGAAAGTGGTATTCTAATACATAAGAAAATATTTCTAAATTGTTATTTAAATGGCAGAACATTATATTTTATTCCTTTGTATACGTATATGTGAAGAATATATTATAGAAAGATAAGTTCATGAGGTATAACAACTAATTAATCTAAACTTGTTATTTGTGTGGCACACTTTGAGATGACACCATCATGCTTTTTTTGTGAAGATAAGCTATATCTAGACTGATCAATCCTTACATTTTACCTGATTCTTACTAATTATTTTTATGCTAGAGTCCTGGTGCACCGGTGTATGAAATTTGTACATGGGGAGGGCGTCCCCTCAGCCCAGCCTGCACCTTCTCCAATCCGGGACCCCTCGGGGAATGTCCGAATGTCAGACATCCTTCTCACAATCCAGGACCACTGGCTCCTAACTGCTCACCTGCCTGCCTGCCTGATCACCCCTAACTGCCCCCTCCCCCCCCGACAGCCTAATTGCCCCCAACTGTCTTGCCTCCCAGCTGGTCTGGTCTCCCCTAACGCTCCCACCACAACCCCCACCAGCCTGGTTGCCCCTTATTGTCCCCTTGCTGGCCTGGTCTCCCCCAACTGCCCCTTCTTTGTCCTGTCACCCCCTCTGCCAGCCTGGTCGCCCCACATAGCCTGTTCAGTCGTCCATTCGGTTTGTGATAGTCACTTAGGCTTTTTATATATATGTCGATTAAATTTTAGAACAAGAATTACCAAATAAGTTGCTTTACCTGATTTTGATTAATTTTTATTTTCGGAATATCAAGAAATACTCTCTTCTTCAGGAGTGAACCCAAGACTACCATAAATAAATTTCATTTGTTTTTCAACCTGTGTTTCACATACTCAGACCCAGTGAGAGTATAACTGTGACTATTAGGAGTAATGTCTAATTGTTGTGTATTAATTCTAACTTCCTTTCTCTGATCAAATTCCAGGCTGCCAGGATATTGCAGATGAGTTCAGAGCACAAGAGATTGATGGACAGGCCCTTCTCTTGCTAAAAGAAGACCATCTTATGAGTGCAATGAATATCAAGCTTGGCCCTGCCCTAAAGATCTGTGCACGCATCAACTCTCTGAAGGAATCTTAACAAGATCATGAGGCTTTGAGATAACAGCAGTTTTATTCTTCTTAAACAAACTTGTGAGGTAAAGGCTCAGGTTGGCCTAGAATATTATCATTTATTGTGGTGGATAGCCAATATTGGGATCGCCACATGAAAAGCTAGCATTTCTTTTACAGATTTAATAATTCATCATACATTTTCATAATTAGCCAACATTGGTGAAATTAATTTTACAGGTTACATACAACATTGAAAGACTTGTTATAGAGGGCCATGATATTTTTCAAAGAAACATATTATAGTACTTTTAAAAAAAGGAATGTTTATCATTAATATAAAGAATCCTTTTAAAACTAATTTAATGATTTACATTTCTCTTTGAATCCAGTTTTGTTATACATTTTTCTACCCTGTAAGTTTCCCATAGGTTGTCATTAGAGGTAATTTAAAAATAATTTAGGAGTCCAGTGACTGGAATTGTATACAGTGAGATATCGTTGTGCATTTAAAAAAAATGTCTGTTAGAAAGTTGTTTTGTCTATAAAAAAGGATGCATTCTAGCAAGGATAACACTGATCTGGGAGTCAGAAGAGTTGGCTTCTCTTCTAAACTTGACCAAGAATTTGGTGTAACTGAGAACATTTTCCTCTTAGTTTTTGTACAAATAGACCAATGTTTCTCCTGGAGATGAGTTTTGCTCCCTGGGGACATTCTCGTTGTCATAGCTGAGGGGGTGAGGGAGGGAAGCTATTGGTTACCTAGCACATGGAGAAAAGGGATTATATACATCCTACAATGCACAGGACAGCCCTCTACAACGCTCATGTGGTCCGAATGTCCGCAGTACCAAAGTTGAAAAACTCTAATGTAGGAGGGATAAATGATTCTCTTTTTCACTCAGAGGGATACATTACACAATGGAAATATTTCAGGTAGCATCAGTGTTCTGCTCAAGTATTTTTCCCAGTGTGTGCACACTGAAAAAAAGGGGAGCAATCCATTAAATTGGCCAATAAAATAAGGACTAGCATACAAATAATTTGACTCTCAAAAGATATTGATTCCTATTAATTATATTTTCTCTCTACATAATCTGATTATACCTTATGAACCAATGTACATATAACCTTTGCCACAAGGCAATAATTTGTAGCAGATATATGTATTTGGTCTTTGTCATTTTTCTAATGTTGAACATGTTGGGTCTAGCTAGAAAGCATATTCCTGTTTCCTGACTAAACCCTTGCATGCTTTCGACAAAACACCAAGTGATATCTCTTGGATGGTGAGGTCTAATTTTGTATGTACATGTTTAGGGGGAAAATTTTTAAGTAAAACTTTTCACTAAACAGTTAGTGATCTGCTAGAATTGTGACATCAAAACAAAACTGTTGTGGGAACCTTGAGAGCTTTATAGTCCTGGACATCAAACATGTTTAATTTTTTTAATCTTTCTATCATACAATGAAAATGTTTTAATAATTGAAGGAACATGCATAGATATTTGGCAAAAGTGGGAAAGGGTCTATGGGTTTCAGTCATTATCACTGCTCTTTTCAAGAAGATTGTGTTGACCTAGTAGAAGACTAAAGATGTCATTAAAGACATCGCAGATATTTATCTTTTGGCTTTGTGTACATTAGAGAATGTTGATTATTTTTATACAAAACTACAGCGGGTAATTTTTTTAATCTTTAGATGCCTCTTGTTTGAATGTATGCTTTGCGGGATTCTTTAGTGTAGTAATGTTTTAAAAAATGTTTACTGATAGTTGAGTGTAGGATTAGAATGTGTAATATAGTGTAAGGCTCATGTTCCAGACCTACATAGCTTGTAGTCCATGTTACATATTTCTTTATATCATATTTTTAATCATTGGATTAAAGTTTCAAGGAAAGGTAGGCACTCTCTAGTCAACTTTCATTTATTAGTATTTAATCATTGTGACAGAGTTGTCATATGCTTGACTTTCCCCCTCGTGTTGCAATTTCAGAACTTAAATACAGGCTGAGCACTAGTGGAAGATGTTTCACTGTAGGGAGAGGGGGGGCACAAAGAAAAATCTCCCCTGGGATTAAAACTTTAGCATATCCACAAACAATATAAAAGTATGTGGGGATAAAGTCCCCTTTCAATAATGATTGCTTCCCTTAACTACATATAACCTTTAAGATGTTAGCTTTGAACTGTGTTAATAGGTTCACCTTTATTTACACCCTCTTGTAATAGCAGTCATTAATGTAGTGCTTACTAAAAGCCCCTGTGCCTGGCACTATGTTAAGAAAGCTTACAAGAAGGGTATTCATTTGAGAGTACCTTATAATCTTAAGTCTTATAATAATAATCTTTAGAATAGTACAGATCTTTTGTTGTCTCCACTCAAAACATACCAGAAAGTATACTTGTTTTTTTTTTTTCTTTTTTTTTTTTTTTCAAGTGAGTTGTTTTATTTAGAAATGGCTCATTTGCTTTCAACTGGTCACTCTCACCTTTGAAGCAGTTATTTCTTTCAAGATGATTAAACCATGTTAATATCAGTTACATATAATGGATATAGATGATGACACTGGTTGTGCACCTCTCCCCTGAGCTTTAAGCACAGTTTTAATATGATATAGGTTGGAAGAGGGCTATTATTTTTATTTATATAATTGTTTTAGGATTTTGATTGAGGGAATGACAGAGAAGTTCTTCCTATTTTTGCTACTTAATTTTGTATTTTCTGACTTGTTTAAACTTATGCACTCTTTTTCCATTGAGGGGGGAAACCTACAAGTTTTAAATTTTATTTGCTTTAAACCATGTGTTCCTAAGAAAGTAAACAAGCCGAGAGAGCTGGCTTGTAAAAATTATTTTTTACATGATGTGGATTTTCATCAAGTCTTGCGTAGGGATGTGTCTGACACAGCTATGCAGCTTTGATGAAATCAGTATAGTATGAGACTTTTTAAGTGGCATTTAACTATTTCCAAGATGGTACTTTTAATTTGTTGTGGCATCATCTAAACAGACACTTTTAAGGGCTGACCTAGAAGTAGAGAAGGTGGAACGGGAGGGAAAATGTTAGTGAAGAAACTTGAGAATGCGAGAGAAGAAGCCTGCCGCTTGTTAGTTTATCCCACTTCAACACTGAACAAATTGCTGCACTTTTGGAGTTAATATTCATGTTTCACCTAGTTTTAAATAGAAATAATTTTAAGTAGCCCTCTTAGAACTGTATATAATACATATTGTTATGCCCATGCTTTTGAATAATTTTTTAATCTTCATATAGCCATTGTGAAATTATAGTCAGACATTTATTCAGATACCAGAATTAGATTGAAATGTCATAGTGCCCCATATCATTGACATGTCCAATTAAATGTGAGTAAGCCCCATTATTTGCATTTGCAGGGTGTTGGTACACTATGGCACAAGTGTTGTAAGGAGGCAATATATAGATTGTATATGTAGTCTTAGGTTGTCAAAAACTCAAAGATTAGTTGTTTTAATTATCAGAATTGAGTATTCACTTTCAGATGCCACAGCTGAATCAAAGAAAAACATTTTTAATATTGTATTTTATTTGCTAGGTTGTCTCAGTCTAAGAATTGGATGACTAAGAGCTGTTTCTCTTTATCAGTGTGGATTTCAATTAACACAAGCCTACCTCTATTTTTTGATGCACAGTAGTGTGCATCATGAAATAAATAGTTTCACATTCATCAATATTGGTATTTTATGAATCTATTTAAAACATTTGATTTCATTTTAAAGATTGTGATTCAATTTAGATAAGCACAAATACAGTATTAGGGAAAGTAAATATGCAGTTTTAGCAAAATTTAATTTCAACCTATTAAGAGGTGTATTATCTTTAAAAGAATTCTTTGGGAACATATTCCTCTTTTGTTGTAAGTTCAGAAAATGTATTACTATATGATTCCCTTTATAGCAGCAGTACAAGCCATTACATCAGTAAAGAGTTAAAAATTATATTATCTTTGGAAAAAGTTTCCTAAATTTTTAAGAATTCTAAAGTTTTACATGTAATTTTTTAGAGCTTAAAATAATACTATGAGAAAGCTTTTTTTTTTTTAAAGTTGTAAAGTACTAATATGATGGTAATTATTGCTGTCATATTCTAGAGCAAAACATTTGGCTTTTTCTGAACTGTCACTTTAGTACTCACATATTAAAAGGAAGTGGCCTCCCTCCTTTTCTGATCTGAAGCCCAGCTTCTCTAATGAAAATTGTCCCATTCTACTCTTAACACATGAACCTTCTAAATGCGATGTTTACCGAACCTTTTGGGAAATGTTCCCCATGAATGTTTCATGTTTTCCCCTTTTATAGCTTATGAACACTTAGTTTTATTTAAAAATGACCGTTTTAATCTCAGATATTAAGGGGTACACTAGAAAAATATTTTTTTCTACTGTCTTTGAAAAGTACAACTGCTCTCAGTGATACTGGTGGCATAAATATGAATCCATAGAAAGAAAACCTTGCAAAGGTTTTTAAATGTATTGTCTAAAAGAAAGTATAGAATGACTCTTAATTTGGAAAAAATAAATATGAATTTAAAACACTGTTATGTTAACATGGCATGGTTTTAAATTTAAGAGTAATATAGTAAGTCCTTTTAGACCACCTATTTAAATGGACTCCAGTAATCTTCTTAAGGATTGATAGTAGCCATCATTATTGGCTTAAAATTATACAGTGTTAAATCCATGTGTTTTTTTTTAGCTTTCATTGATAGAGGTGAAAAAGGTGGTGCTTGTGAGGATGGTAGAACTGGAGGTGGAAGTAAATATCAACCTACTTTAGAAAGAAGGAACTTTTCAGTCTTGCCTCAAGCAACCAGAAGAATCCATTGCTTACTATCTTCATTTAGAATGGTTGGAAAGTCATAATCCTTTTTGTGTTAAGTAGTACCATAAATACTATATTAATAGTTAATAGGTCTACATAATCATTAAATTACTATGATGAATAACGGGTTTTACATCCGGTTGAAAGAGCTGTGTGCGACACACTCGGCAGTCACTTACCTTTAAACCTGTTTCCTCTTCTATGTATATAGTATGGAGCCTATACTAAAAATGTTGATTTTAATTTAAATCATCTCTGAGGTTCCTCCCAGCTCTAAAACTATGATTCTGGACCACATAATTGGTGTTTTTAAGTTGCTTCTACTTAATTCTCTTTGCCTTTTATAACAGTTCCTTTCATACTTCAGAGCAATTGCTAAAAGATAATTATTTATTAAGCAATATTCTCTGTGCCACCTAGTCTTCATTGTCCTAAGAAACAAGGCAGAAAATTCAAACAGACAAGCAAATGAGGACATTCTTCTAAATGCTTCTTGCTAGCTAACCATGGAATATATGAACACACTAGAGGCCCAGTCCATGACATTCGTGCACTCTGGGGGGGTCCCTGAGCCCAGCCTGTGCCCTCTAGCAGTCTGGGAGCCCTCGGGGAATATCCAGCTGCATGGCCACCACCGTGCTCGCCAGCTGTGAGCCCGGCAGGCTCCCCCTGTGGGAGCGCACTGACCATCAGAGGGCGGCTCCTATGTTGAGCATCTGCCTCCTGGTGGTCAGTGTGCATTATAGCAACCAGTCATTATGCTGTTCAGTAGATTTGCATATTAGCCTTTTGTTATATAGGATATGGACATTATCATTCAGGTATTTATCCATTCATTTAGCAAACTGTTGGAACACTTAATATGCGTAGCATGTGGTAGACATGACATAAGGAACTAGTAATAAATAAAATCTTCCCAAACATAATTTTGATTGCAGTTTAAACAGATATGGACATAATTATTATTAATGTACTGAATATAAAGTTGGAACTGAGGGAAATTTTTCTGCATTGGGGTAAGAATTAGGCTAGGTGACAGATAAGGGGTCTGAGTAAATCACATCAATTCTTGTAGCATTTCACCTACTAAACATCAATCAGTCATAAACCTAAGCAGGTTATGAAACTAAGGGTATTAACAATAAAGATTTATATTTTGTGACAGCCCATATTTCTAAGAATTGTTTTGACACTCGAATCTATTCCAGAGGTGTTGCTATGCAGGGGGTGTGACAGAACAATACAAAGAAGCTGGTGCTGACTTACTGTACATTTTTAACTACAAAAGCTTTATACCCAGTATTGACAGTGAAGCATATCTAAAACTGGGAAATTTCAAAGGAAATCACTGAACAGGTTTTGTTTTTAAAGCAAGGAAGACTGCATAAATTTTATTACAAAAATCTACTTTTTAGAAAGCACACATTACAAAGTAAAAGGGTTTTACTTTAAAATATAGAACTAATAAACATAAAAGAGTTCTGTGTTTAAATTGACAAGTATTTGGGGGGTAAGCATTGAATGGGATCAGTTATTAACTGGGTATATTCCTTATCACTTGAGGATTTGTGACTTACACTGTGACTCCTATTGACACAGCTTTACATAGTAACATTGCTTGATACTAACATTCTCTATAATGATTAAAAAAAATGAAAAGTAATTTTTATTGATTTCAGAGAGAGGGAAAAGTAGAAATATCAATGATGAGAGAGAATCACTGATCGGCTGCCTCCTGCGTGCCTCACAGTGGGAATTGAGCCCCAACCTGAATATGTGCCCTGACCGAGAATCGAACCATACCTCCTGGTTATAGGTTGATGCTCAACCACTTAGCCACACCAGCTGGGCAGTCACAGCTTCTTAAAGCAGGAAAATGTCCAAATACATGTCAGATTAGAATCTTTAACAAATTGATTTAAAAAGGAATACGGACATTCCAAGTAAAACAAATCCCCCCCCCCCATGGCATTGTTTAAAATTTAAGATGTTTTGATTTACCGAATTTTAAAAGTATTTACCCATATTTTATGATGTTAATAGATATATTGTATAAGTACCTTTTGGCTCCTGAACCGAAGGATTGCATGTTCTGTTCCCAGGGCATGTACCTGGGTTCAGTTCCCTCTCTGCCTCAGTTGGGTGCATACAGGAGGCAACTAGTCAATGTGTCCCTCTTGCATTGATGTTTCTCTCTTCCTCCCTCCCTTCCATGCTCTCTGAAAAGCAATGGGAAAAATATCCCCAGCTGGGAATTTAAAAAAATAAAGTCAACGGAGTGTGCAAGGATGTCTAACTTTGGGTGTATAATTTTGGATGTCTAACTTCCGAGATATTCACCAAAGATTCCCAGTCACCTTATTAAAAACTTTTTTTTTCTCCCCCCCCTATAGGGAAAGAAAAGTCAAAATAGGTTCTAGAAACTATGGTTCAAGTCAGGAGTGAGCTTGTGCTGAGGGTTGGAGTTGTAGACCGCAGGGTACAGGATGGATGCCAGCACAGATGGCAGGCATTTTAGGCCTCTGCTAAATTAATGCTTTTGTCTTGTTAACATTTTGTTGTTGATTTAAACATAGGCAAATTTGTGTAATAAGTTTTTTTTTAATTTTTGATTCTTCAAGTACATGTTAATTGACTTTTTCTATTCCTACGTTTGATTCCTCACACTGTTCTAAAATAGAACTTTTAAATGATTAAAACTTCAAAAGTTGATCCACCCAGGATGAACAAAGCATCACCAAGGGGAAAAAGCATTTTTTATCTTTCTAGAAAACAAATGTTAAGATTATATATAGATGTATTCTTTACATTGGATATTGTATTAGAATCCTCTTTATAGGAAATTAAATAGTCTTTAGCTCTCTTAGCATTAGTGTTCCTAGATTGGTGTCTGTAGCTAGTTTTCAATTGTATAACCTGAAAATGAAGTTAATTTTGCATTATAAGAGCACACCCCAATCTATGTAAAAAGTCTTTCCATTTGTTTTGTTTTTTTAAGAAAAGAGAAGGCACTTTCATATTAACAAGTAGCATGTGTATCAATTTTAGATTTTCATATTTGTTGTGTCTGTATTCAGTGAGGTAAAACTAAGCATTCAAATGTGTGTTGATGGCAACGTTAACTGTTAAAGCACCTTATACTCTGCTGCTTAAACTTACTTGTAATTGCACCTTTGTTACCTGCATATTTTCACATAGAATATTATTGTAACATTGCTTCATGTGGGTCTGGATGAAGGTTAAGTGGGCCTACAGAATCATTTATTTATATTGTTTATAATTCAATAATATATTGTAGACCAGCTGTTAAATTCATTTCTTTACTAATAAAAGCCTCTTCCATTTGGCTGGTCTATTGCATTTCTTTTTTTCTTTAAGCTTATGAGGCATGGGGCTTTCTTATTGAACAACAACAAAAAAAGCTTGCTAATGTATTTGAAATAGTTATAAATTTTCCTGATTTAAAAACTGCAGGGTTTTATTAAGCACAAAACAATTTAAATATCATAGTGCCCTGTTATGGCCAATTAGAAAGCAGTACAGAAGAAAAGGAACAGAGAAATGAGGGCCAGGTTTAGACATTGACAGACATTCTATGTAGTTCAATTGAATTCACAAAGTGACTTCAGATTATTTGCCATTCAGATTCTTTTATTCCTGTAGTTCTCTGCCGGGGGCGATTTTGCGCCCTTCCCCTCCCCCCATGGGAGGTTTGGCAATGTCTGGAGACATTTTGATTGTCAAGACTGGGGAAGAGAGTGCTATTGGTGGTATCTAGTGGGTAGAGGGGTAGGGATGCTACTAAGTATCTCACAATGCACAGGGCGTTCTCCCCAATCACCTAACCCAAAATACCAATAGTGCTGAGGATAAGAAACCCTACTTTACTTTTACAAGGTAGTTATGATTTGATATTGCAAGTGGCATTTTAGTTATAACTGAAAAGGAATATGGTATGTCTTGGAAAGAAACCTAGTCAGTCACTACCAATTCTGTAAGGTAAGCAGAACTTAGCTTGCAGAAATATTTATTTTAAGAACAAATATAGAACAATATATATTTTAAGAACAAATATATATTTTTAAGTTAGCTAATCTTCCCCTATGTTAAATAATATTTATTCCAAATTATTTTAAGACGATCTTGATTTTATTACTGTGAATTAAATAAAAATGTTATTTAAGTTTGTATAAAGTTGGCAGCAAATCTCAGATTTACAGAAGTTTGCATCCAGTAGTTTTTTGGATAACAGAAACATCAGTATGGCCAAATGTTAACTCATTTCACTTCTATGTTCATATTTGTAACATGAATTTTCTTGAACAGATATAACATTTTTTCTTGGAATTATTTTGTTTAAAAGCAAACAAAAAGACAAATAATATCATAGCCCAAAATACACATTGAGGCGGTTGAGGGAGGCTTCAGTTCAGTTCAGTCTTGGTATGCACCGAGTTATTTCTTCTTCTTTAAAAATACCACAGTTGTAAGTTTTAACACGGCAACATGTTAACAAGTTATAATTGATGTAGGCTTTTCAATTTGCTCAGGATCATGAATTGCAAGTTCAGTGAAGCAGCATTTCCAGTTGACAAATGGATCCACAGGTAATGCAATGTCTCTTAAATTAAACTTGTGACATTTACACCAGTAAACTGTAGCAATGAGAAAACTATTGACAAAGTACAACCACGGAATGTTCATCTCAATGTATGCTGGAATCTGTACTTTAAATAAAAGGATCATTATTTGAAGTAGTACAAATGGTAACCATGTACCAAGAAAACAGACAATGAGCTTGGGCAAGAGTGTTTTTTTAGAGTTCACAGTACAACTAGAATGGGATGAAAAGGGGAAATACAGGACAGTTTCATTCATGTAGGAAGTTATCCTAATTGCCTGTACCAAGGTAATAACTTCTGACCAAGAAGTTAGGAAAGCCATAAATAAAATCATCACCATGGAAAGTGTCAGCCAGTAACTTTGAATGCTGACATAGAAAGGACATTGATAAGGATAAACATACTGTGCCTTCACGTTTTGGTAGATACCTGGATCTCCCAAAACATAAGCAAACACTAAAATCCAAATTAAAATTACTGTAAAGAAATAAAGTAAATTCTGACACTTAAGTGGAAGGCTGGTTTTAGAAAAATTCAGATAATAATCTATCCAAGCTATCAGGAAAACTGGATAATGCAAAAAGCCGTAAATAAAAGAAATAATTTGAGTAAACAAGCAGATGTGGTATTTAGTAAACCTAATGTCTAAAAGTACAAAATCCCTGAAATAGGATATAATGGAAATGTTCACCAAGAGTAAAAGGTCCATGAATGCTAGTGAAATGCAAAAATATTCCATAAAAGTTTGACAGGTGTTTTTTCTTCTCATTCCCAGTGTGAGGATATTTAGTAATATTTTTCCAAGTATAATCAAGATTAGCAGACAGTTACCATCTAGGGGCTGACTTGTATGATGTAACTGATTCTGAGAAGAGCAGTTCTCTGAAGAAAGCACAATCATATTTTTAGTTAACCTTCAGAAGAGCTGCTGAAATATAGACGATAAAATACTGCTTTGCTTTATTTTCCATCCCTGCAAAGAAAAGTGAAAAAGTCTTGATGTTATCTTGATTCTATCTCTATTTTAAGACTTTACAAAACAAGCACTAGGATTTCCCAAATCTAATTTTTTTTTTTTTTTTTTTTTTTTTTTTAAATATATTTTATTGATCTTTCACAGAGAGGAAGAGAGAGATAGAGAGTTAGAAACATTGATGAGAGAGAATCAACAATCAGCTGCCTCTTGCACACCCCCTACTGGGGATGTGCCCGCAACCAAGGTACATGCCCTTGTCCGGAATCGAACCCGGGACCTTTCAGTCCGCAGGCCGACGCTCTATCCACTGAGCCAAACCGGTCCCGGCCCAAATCTAATTTAATCCAATCATTTCCACAAACAATTGTATGTATAAATAGGAATTTATATTTCTCATAAAATGTATAGAATACAAAGAATTAATATGCATACTTTTTGAGACATAGGTTGTTCAGAACTCTCAGATATATAACCAAAATGTTACATATAAATTACTAAAACTTCCATATAAGTACAAGTTTTAATAAAAAAGATAAAATACTTTTTCCTACAGGAGTGAAAACACAGGCTTAAAATAGCAGCCTGCAGGTGACACTCAGAACAATCACTGATAGTTGTTAAGCGAGTCCCACTCTGACTCAAGATAATGTTACCTCACCTGTCCCCCCTTTTATCTCTTCGTAAGGCAGAGGTAGTGTTTAAGGGGCCCTCTAGTCCAGCAGTTTTCAAACAGTTTTTAACTGCAGGATCATAATTCAAATTAAGTCTCTGAAGCTCAAAGATATGGAACAGACTATTCAGCTGATAATAAAAGGAACATTGGTAAAGGAAAGATTTATCTTCTGGGTATGATCTTACAGGTGTGGCACCTGGAGAGACGGGAGAATACAAGGAAGGAATAGGGACCGAGTATGGATACCTGAGAACATTGGGAAGTCCTAGGTAAAGGCAAAGGAACAGGAGTAGAAGCTTGAGTGATAAATGCACTTGGAGGCAGCAAAAAAGATAAGATGATGAAGGAGAAAGGTCAGAGAGGAAGAAATCAGGAAAGGATGGAAGGAAGGAAATTAGAGAAATTTATCCTGAAAACATGACCCAAAGATGTTTCTGCAAGACTTTCAAGTATTTCTGAGTAGCAAAATAAAACCAACTCCAAGTACTAACAGATCCATCACAAATGTCAACAACTGGAGAGGGTTAAAATGATATACAGTCCTTCCCTACATGTTCTCTACTGCAGCCTTAAAAACATTAGCAGGAAGACTGTTCACACACCTTTTCTATACTTATTCAATGTTTAGCCTTATGAGCATGTTACATGTTTAAAAATAACATAAATTTCCATAATGTTTAATTAAATGAATTGCAGATTACAAAAGTATGTCATTCCTTGTTAAGCCATTATACATGCATAGAAAAACTTAAAAGGTACACATTGACTTAATACTATGTAGTATTATAGGTCTTTCTGAATTTCTCAAACTTTAAGGAAAAAAAGAAGTTAGAGAGTATCAAGACTAAAAAGTGAAAAACTGAATTTGCTGAAAAGCAGGTAACTGATTAATTTCAAAGGAGTAATGAGGATATTGTCTGAGAAGAAAAAGCTCAGTGTGGGAGAAAGCTATTAGTTCTATTAACTTGACAAGGAGTCCTAATTGAGAAGAGAGGCCCTCACATTTGATTTCTGTGTTCATCTTATCACAGTCCAATTTTAGCAAGAATCCTGCTGAGTCAGGTTAGCCAGCATGTCTCATCCTCAATATCTGATCTCCCTTGCTATCTGATCAGGTTCCTCATCTCTCACCATGCTTCCCCCCCCCTCCCCCCCCCAATGATGTCCAATCACCCTAACCTTCCTTCAGCAAGAATCCTGTTAGGGGTTAGCCAGAATCCCCTTGCTCCTGACGTTTCCTTAGTAATATTTCATCTACTGACCCCCACCCCTTGCCTGTTGGCTATGAATTCCCACTTGTATTTGGAGTGAAGCCCAGTCTCTTCCTGTCACTGCAGAATCTCATCATTGTGGTCCCTACACCTATTGCAATGGTTCTGAATAAGGTCTGCCTTACCATTCTTCAGCAAGGGTCGTGAATAATTTTTTCTTCAACATACTCTCATGGCCATAATGCACTAATGTCATAAACTCACCTATCTATTTATATACATACACACATGTATATATCAAAAAAGTTTAAAAAGTCATTCAATACTCCTATTCATAACTATAGGTTTAAAAGAATCAATAAAAGAAATTCTCTTGTACATTCAAATTATTTTCTATACTCAAATATATCGTGTAATTTAACTTGACCCTCTCCCGAAAAAGCTCCATTCCAGATTTGAGATATGATAAATAATGGCACGGAATCATGGTTAAGCACTTTGACAAATGCCATTGGCTTTGTAAGCGGTGGTGCCTGGATAAGGAAGCATAGCTGGAATGATAAGACCACTGGAAGCCCTCCAGTGTCAAGAAAAAAAAAAAAAAAGAAGCTGTTTCAAATAGCAAATGTTGGTTTGGAATGGAGGTGAGGGAGGAAAACAGTGTGGGTTCATATTTATGACCCCCCCCCCACTTAAAGGTATCTTTACTATAAAATTTAAAAAGAATTATCCGTATAAAATTGTTTTATCCTTAATAACTGCAACGCAAAATTAAATAAGCAAAGCTAAGGAATCCCTGTTTAAATAAACAACATCCAAGGGGTGTTTCCCAAGTTTCCATTGCATTATGGACTCTCACCATGGGGGCCAGGGGAAGGCAAAAAGCAGGCGACTCCCTGGAGGAGTGGGGGGCTACGGAAGGTCAGCAAAGGCAGGAAGTGGAGAGGAGGATCGGTTCCAGTCACCAAGGCAATTCTCAGAAGCTTCTTAGAAGATGACTGGAAGAAAGAAGACAAAACAAATCTGAGATGGACTATATCAGAGAACCATAAAGCTGGAAGGAACTTTAGAGATGAGGGAAGATATGCAACTTGAAGCAATAAAAAGCAATCAAGAGAAGTTGTGGCTGTTTTATAATGGTTCCTGAATGTTATATAATAATAATGGGAACTGAAACTTTCTGAGGTGATACCAACTTATACTCCCTGTCCTCAATAAAGCACTAAAAATTGTTCAGTATTTCATTTTGTTCTTTAAGCAACCCCTACAGGATAAGACAAAAATCCTTTGTTAGGCTACCTGTCCCGAATTTTCCCTTGAAAAAGGTTTACTTTAACTCCAAGGATTCAGTGATTTATAAGATATGGTTCTTTTCTTGGGGAAAAAAAATGTTTTAACTACTTATGAATCAACTCATATTGCTTCATATACAACTTAAAAAGTTAACATGGAAGTCCTTTTCAAGACATCTTTGGGTTTGCATTGTGATCTCACTGATTCAGAAGTAGTAGACCTGAAGGAAACTAACCATGATTTCTTTTTTGCTTTTCTAGATAGTTATTAACAACCAAATCTTAACCACACACCATACTTACTCTGCTTTCTCCAAGACGAAGTCTTCTCACTTGATGATCTTCCTATTTCAGTTTAAAGCCTTAAATTAACTTACTTTGGGTTCCTGGCATACCAAAATGCCACATGAATAAGCTCTGTGTGAAAGATAGCAAAAACAAAACAAAACCATCATTAATAGCTACCTTGGTAACCAGAGTTCAATATGACTGGCTCCAGATCTCTGCTTAGAAAAACTATAACTTGCACCTTAGCTGGTCTGGCTCAGAGGACAGTGTCTGCCTGGGTTCGATTCTGGTCAAGGGCACATGCCCAGGTTGTGGGCCTCGATCCCCAGCAGGGGGCGTGCAGGCAGCTGGTCATTTTCTCTCATTGATGTTTCTATCTCCATTCCTCTCTGACATCAATAAAAATATATTCTTTTTTAAAAAGAAAGAAAACTATAATGTGCTGTGGAATTAGAACCAGCAATTAATTGCTTATCTTTTTTCCAGCAAAAGGAAGAAAGAGAATATTTAGGTTGAAAGTCCACCAAAGACCGGAGATGTGGGTGCACATAACAGGGCATCCATTTACAGAAATCTTGCTTACATTGTGATTTTCACCCACAGGCTTCGGAGTCTAACCTCACAGTTCTCATGGTGTGATCACAGGACCTTCTGGCACTTGTTGCATGTTAACGTAATTTCTTAAAATGAAAATTTACTGTTTTCCCAAACCAAAAAACTGAGTGAATAAAGTGGCATTGATTGTTTCACATTTTACAAATTGCTTGTTTCTGGCTCAATAGCAGATGTAGCTGAATCTTCATCCTATATTAAATCAGGTGCAGTATCACATTTCCTGTAACTTTTGGAAAGTCCTCTGTACATTCGAGTTTGAGAGGGAAAAAATATAACTTTTCAATAATAGGTAACAAATTAAACTTAATAACTTCATAGTAGTAGTATAATCAAATAGTTGTGCTATGCAACCTCAGAAAAGTTTAACAAGAAAAATAAAAATCTCATGGTATTACCCTGGAGCTATTAAAAATGAGACAGCCAGGCTATGCTCTTTCACAACAAGTTTCACCTAACAGTTTTAGCATCCACTTATCACCCTTGCCTGAATCAATTACCATCTTGGGGATCACAAAACAGTGTTTTCCTAATTCTATGATTCCTTCTTCTTTTACACGCTAGCAATTTTCCCCCTGGAAATATATTATGGATTCATGGACTTATTTTTAATCACTGCCACCCTTATTCTTTTGAATGCCTATTTCCAAACTCATCCTGTAAGAGTTCCTTCAAGCTGGTTCCTGGGTCCTCTTGACATTTCCCAGTCTTTAAACGCATTTTCAGGCACACCAGGGATCAGATATATCCATCCCGGACTGTTACATGACAGAAATAAACTTGTACTGGATTTGAACCATTACATTTTTAGTTTCTTTTTACAGCATTTTAGCCCACTCTCCTTAATAC